AAAGATACAACGCTAGTATAAGCTTCAGAGAGCACTCAGCGCTGGGTGGTGAAATGACAAGTTACAGCTTTTGATGAACAGGGGAGGAGGAAAACAGGTGAATTTGACAGTTGTGGGCTCAATCTTTTACATAACAATCATCTCTTCTCAGTAATGGTCACTGTTTAATCAGAAGGAGGACCATGATTACACCTGTCCCTAACAGAAAGTCACTGAAACCTCAGCACTGGGTGTGGGCTCAAAGCAGGCTGGATGCTGGAGATGGTCCATGTTTCCTCACAGCAGCCTGACGGTCCTTTTTCATGCCTGTTCCTGGTTCCAACATCCAAATAATCCATGGGAGGAGAGGGTTCTGCAGAACACCTTGACCTTGAGTTTCTCATACCTCAAATTCTGCTTCTGTGGTTTTGTTAAACAGTGTATAAAAATTAGCTGCTTATTTTGGAATTGTTACTATTTGTGTTAGATTGAAAGAAGATAGTATCTCCCACCAGAAGTGTGCTTGGTCTCAGGTTGCACCAAACAGACTTGTGGAGCTCTTACAGCTCCCCAGGTGAGCACTAAGGACTTACCTGTGCAGGTAAGTTACAGCACAGGGTAGTGCCGTGTGGGGTTACTGGAGCAGACACAGCAAGTGCAAGACACCTGCTAAAAGTTGTTAATAGTTTGGTCAGATTACACTGGTTCTTCATAGAAGAACGTTCCATGTACTCTGTGCATGTGGACAAATACTGCATTTAAAATATAATCCTAGGAATTTTGGAAGAATAAAATTCTTATGTTAAGAGACTTGCTTATTTCATGGAATCACGGAATAATGTGGGTTGGAAGGGACCTTAAGGATCATCTAGTTCCAACCCCTGCTGTGGGCAAGGACACCTTTTACTAGACTAGGTTGCTCCAGTTCCATCCAGCCTGTCTTTGAACACTTCCAGGGATCCATGGTTTGTAGGAGCAATTTGTGCCAGTGAGTCACCACCCTCACAGAAAATTCCTTCCCAAAGCATTAAGTGAACCTGCTCTCTTTCAGTTTAAAGCCATTTCCCCCTTGTCTATTACCACAGTCTCTTGTAAAAAGTCCCTCCCCAGCTCTCTTGTAGGCACTGGAAGGGGCTCTAAGGCCTCTCCTGATTCTTCTCCAGACTGAACAACCCCAATTATCTCATCCTGTCTCCTCAGCAGAGCTGCTCTGGCCCTCGGAGCATTTTCAGGGCCTCCCCTGGACTCACTCCAACAGGTCTGTGTCCTTCACATATTGGGGGCCCCAGAGCTGGACACAGGACTCCAGGTGGGATCTCACAGGACTCATCTCTCACCTTCTGCCCACGCTGCTTCTGATGAAGCCCAGGACACATTTGGCACACTGATGCACAATGAAAGCACATTGATGCACATTTGGCTTTCTGGGCTCTGAGAACACATTGACAGCTTATGTTGAGCTTATGTTTTCAGCCAACACACCCAAGTATTTCCATTCAAGGCTGCTTGATTTAAAATCAAAACATCATTTCTAAATTTATGGGACGATCTGCCCCAAAGCTGAATGTTAAAAGAAGACCCAAATAGTTGAAAAAGTACCAAGCCTAATCCAAGAATCCTTAAGAGAAGACTGCAGGGTTTTAAGGAACCTTCTTCTCTTACGGCTTTTCTTTCATGCCTGCAAGTCCCTTTGGGAATTCTGGAGACGCCCATTCTCTCTGCTTGGCCAGCTCAGCACAGCTGAGACTTTGCCAGGAGTCTGGGGGGCTGCAGTTTTGCTTCATCCCACACTGATATCAGCAGGTACTTCTGTGCCTGAGACTCACGAACCAACAGGGCCAGCAACTGTGGGAACTGTTAAACCTGCTAGATGTGGAAATGTGCAGATTCTATTCCATGACTTTGAAGGTGACCAAAGAATGAGTTTATTTTGGAAACACAAGGGAAGTTAAGTCCTCATGGGCTGCAGCCAGTTTGAACAGAAACTTCTTGGCCAATGTAAACAAATGTACAATTGTACAATACCAATGTAAACCTGCTACATCATCATGGTGACAAGCCCTAGGCAGGGAAAAACATCTTCTAGGTAAAACAGATTAAATTCCATTATGGAAAATTCTAGGGTGCAAAGGAAATTCTTTTGATCCTTTGCTGAATGTAGATGATTCCACATACATCAGCAGAACCAGGCTGGCAGGGGATGGGTGTTGGGTCTCCAAAGTGGAGCTTTATCAGTGAAGCTGAGCAAACGACCATCATCAGCTCCATGAGAGCTGAGCAATCCTTCCTCACCATCTACAGCAGAGCACAGCAAAAGTGAGCACAGACATCTGAATGTTGTAGCTTAAATTCATAGCCTCATCTAAGATCATCTGGAGTAAGAAACAGATCAGGAAATAAGATTTTTTTCTGCTTCCACACTTCCACAGCAAACACACACATTTCCCTACCATCCAGCAGTTCTGCTGCTCTCCAGATGGGGTTGGAGGCTGCTGCTCTGTAATGTCTCTAAAGTGGTACTGAGGACCCAACCCCTCTGGAAAGTGCCACAGCTAAAAAGTGCCCTGTCTTTGTTCAGCTCTGTCACTCCAGTTTGTGTCTTCAGAGACTGTAAATTCTCAGGAGCTACATAGCAAAAAGTGTCCTCCTCTGCCTCGGGAACAGACGGATGCTGCTGCTTCATCTTTTGAATGAAGCTTCTCAGTGAGTTAGCATCTGGATTGTGCAGCAGGTTTGGTGTTTGTGAAGCAAAAGCAGTCTGATTTCATACTTTAAGCCTTCAGGATATACATGTTCTTGTAACCATAATACTCAGCACTCTTGCTGAGTATCTGAACTGTGGAATTGCAGAAAGTTAAAAAAAAAAACTTACAGTGAAGTTGCACAAAAACAAAATTCCCTCCTGCACTCACCCATTGTATGAGTCCAACTGAGCTTCCTAGCAGTCCATAAGATTTCTTAGGGAAAAGGCTGTTTTAACACTTTGAGACTGTTTTTACATAACTATGATATGAAAATCATATGATGTATATGATTTACCACTAAACTGCTGTAATCTATTGGATGGGACTTTGAGCTAACTTGCCCTTTCTTCTTCATCTTACAGCTGGACAACAGATACCAGGTCTGAAAGGATCTGAGTTTTCCTGGTGGAAACTCCTCCACTCAAGGAGACTGATTTAATTCTGTGTTTTCTGTCTACAGCCCAGAAAGGCAAGCAGAGAAGTAAATGAACAAGTGATACTTGGAAACAAACTGAACTCAAAAGCAGTTTAAAACATTTTCTTCTTCAACTACTTTGCTTGGAATGCTGAAGGTGAATAAAGATGAGAGGATACAGCAGGAACTGAATCAAGCAGAAATTCTTATAAGGTTCAGGAGTAATTTAAGGAATTAGTACTCAAATCTTCAGAGCCCTTCCTGAAAACCCAGTGACCTGACACAGAAGGTCCCAGCCTTCAGGGACTCCCCAGGGACAGATGTCTGAGGTGGTGTCCACCTGTTAAAGTGGGAGACTGGGCAGAAGGGATCTAATCCAGCTAAGCCAAGGTCAGTCAGCGAGCTCAGGGGCAGGCAGGGGACAGTGAGGCAGGAGGGGAACACAGAAGCACAGCTGGTGGCTGACAGCAACCCCCTCCATCAGTGCCAGGTGGGAGCAGCAGCTTGGATATGGGGCTACCTGATCACCAGCAGGAACTCTCAGGGAGCTGGGGTAACCTTGGAAGGTATCAGCATTGTTGTGAGGCAGGAAAAGCGATGAAACTGGAAGAAAGGTCTTTTCCAACTGTAGTGATTCTATGATTCTATGACTGGTGACCAGTCAGCTACTGACTGCCAGTAACCAGCCCAGCATGGAAGATTTGGGCTGCCCTCAGTACACTTCAGCAAGGACAAGGAATTGGACGTGGTTTGGCTTACAGAGCAATACCCAGCGACACATAACTATGTCATCCTTCTCTTTTCTTCCCATATTTGTTGGAATTGCCTGTGTGCAGGTGGGGAAGTGCTGCCCCTTATCACCCAGCTGGGTTAATTCAATCTCCCATATTCTTATTACTGTATTTGGATATTACCTGAAGGAGAACCCCTGGGAATTAAACCTGGCTCCTTCTACTGCCAATCAATGGGAAGGCAAGAGGTTACATTAGATTAGCATTTAATCTGAATGCTTGTCAACATAAGAATTTGCTTCTTTCAGTCACATGTTCTGAACATGCATAAGGCATACACATCATTTAAAACTGACAAGAGACATATAAACCTCTTTCATTTCACTGCACCGAGCCCTAAGAAAAGAAAGTTACAGAAATAATCTTACCCTGCAATTAATTCTCCATTCTTTTGATTTACAAAAATACACCCATTTTCTCAACAAAATTACAACAACATTATATTTCTGATAATGAAATAAAATTATGATATTTTCAAAATATAAAAATAGTCTGCTTCATTTAATCTACAGAAGCTTTATCTTTTCTTTGGTAGTTCCCATTGCTGGTACCATATGCAAAGTGAGGACTGTAAGATAAGTAAGATTCAGTAAGACAGAGTTGACATTGTCTCTCTGGAGAAGAACAGTTTACAATCAAACAAGTTTACTTTCCAAGAGTCTGAATTCAGACAGGGTGTTATGCAATTTTAGAGGCAACTGCACAACTGATCTAGAAATAATATCTTAAGCCACATTCAAATGGCTCCACTCAACCCCAGCCAGCAGTTTCTGCAGCCCTTTTATCACTGGGCTAAGTATTCAGTTTATATAAACTGACATGGAATCACTGCCTTGTAGCTACAGATTTATAGTAGTTGAAAACACAACCCATTAAAAAACATTAACAGCCTTTACTGGGCCTTCTGGTTATTTTTAAAGATGACTATTCAGAAATACACAAATGTTACAGAATAAATCGAATGCCCCAAACTGTTCTCTCTGATGTTTTGGAGCTATGTGATATTGCTACATAACCTACCTACTTCAAAGTGCAGTAAATCTCCTATTTCAAATTCCATCAGACTCAAAATTGTAAACAGGCTTATGGTTTTTATTGTTGTAAACACATATGCCCCAGGCATACATATCTTGGTTTGTCCAAAAACTGAAACGAGGAAGAAAACAAAAAACCCCAGCCTTAGATGGCAAGTCAGCAGGAATCTTAAATGCAGTTAACTCTTACCCACACAAGATCAAAATATATCCTTAGAAGCTCCCTCATGATTAAGCATTTTGAGGAATTAGGACAGTTATATGGCCTTTGACTTCAAACTTGCCTGACAAGGTTTCAGTATCAGACTTAACGAGATGCTCCGTGGTTGCACTGATTTTACCTGCCAGTGTCCTTCAGCAAAATCTTTCCTAATTTCCAGTCCCAGCACTTCCCAGGCAGCCCTGAGCAAATAACAGGTGGCCACTTCCTCCAGGTGCTCTGGAACAGCAGCAAGCCTGTCCTCCAAAGGCACTTCTGGTACAGCAAAAAGGCACTCACAGAGTCACAGGGTGAAGGCAGTGGGAAGAAATTCACATCTTGTCTTGCATTGTGCTGATTTCCTCAAGCTGAACAAACCTGTTGGATTCCTCACTCTCCCTTCCACATTTAGATACACCTTCAGAGTCCAGTCATTTTAGCTTAAGCTTGGAGCCAGTCTCTGGAGGTCTCTGTAGCTGCACTGACCAACCAGAAGCTAGGAATAAACAGGTCTGAACTTCAGTGCCAGAAGGTGCCTGAGATTAGGTGTGTCTTTCATTTAAAAACTGTGCTCAACAGTGTAAATCTATAGTAGAAATGAGGTTCCAGTTGATGTAACTAAAGCATGATAACATCCCTGACTGAAAAAAATAATCACCATTTAAAAGGCAGGTGTAGCCTCATTATTGCAAAATAGTTACAAGGTGAGATTAGTACCTGTGCTGTGGTGTTTTGTGAGGCAGAGAACCTACACCATGTGAGAAATGGGCATGGTGATTACTTAAAGGCCAAAATTTGAAGAAATTTGAATTACATAATGTTTGGAAGGGACTATTGATTTTTCATATCCTCAGGGGAGATGTTGATTTTGAAAATATTCTCTGACAGAAATCAGTTTACAGGTTTCAGAAGTAAGAAACATCAGTAATGGGAAATGCAGGGTTCTATTTACTATAGGATCCTATAGGAAGGATCCTGTAAATTAGATTACCTCAAAATCTTTCAAAAAAAAAGGGGAAAAAAATCCTCAAAATATGTCTGCATCAGTGATTTGCCTAATTTCAAAACAAAGTAAATCCTAACTTCATATAGTATACTTCAGGTTCCCAAGTGCTTTCCAAACACAATAGTGTGCAAGTTATAGGTAGAGATTGTGATCAAAATCCCCCCCAGCTCCCAAGGATGATGTATATTGTGAGTTAATATTTGGATGGTGCATCATGAATTGGTCTCAATGACCCTTCTGAGTATTTTCCAGTTCAGAACCTTCAAAAATTCTCTGTTCACATTTATACTTTTTTTCCTCCTTAAGTTACAAATGCATAAAATATCCCATGAACAAGATCACAGCTTCTCATTAATCACTGAAAAAAAACAAACAAAAAACCCCCAAGCCTTCAATAACTTACATTTCTGAACATGTGTAATGTCTTTTTTAGCACAGTGCATTGAGTTAGATGTATATTTGCACAATGGTGTGCCCTCTCAATTTCGTTACTGGCTATATCAGAATCATCCTTTGTCCTTTTTGATAAAATGTGAGCAGAGAAATGACCTGGAAAACTCTCAGAGTTGGTTGGTGGGATGTGAGTCTGTATTTGGAAAGCCACTGCATTCAGAGCTTTCAGACCGAGGTGTCCTTTCTGTGGCTGTCCAAGTTCTCTGTGCTTTGATGGCTCCTCCTGGTAAAAGCAGAACAAATGATGCATGAACACACTTCTGGCTTTCACTGCTGACTAATCAAGTTGAGTTTGGCAGTTTCAAACAGCTGAGAACCTCCAGCAAGGTGTGGTTATTCTGGACAATGACTGAAGCCCCTGAACAGAGGGATCAGTCCCATTTCAGAGTGCTTACCCATCCCCTCCAGTCTTCCCAGAGGCCTCTGTCATATCTGCCAACTCCAGGCAGATCTTGCACAGGTCTTGGATATTTTAGGGCATGAACTGGTCCCAGGTACCCGTGCTTAGGTCCTGGAATTGACCCCTTAGCTTTGGAAATCAGTTTCCAGTTCCAGTAAATTGGGATAACAAAATTAAGACAAAGGAACAATCTATTTTTTTGTTATTTTCTCCATCAGTCTGCTAGGACTGTCCTTAAGTATGTCCTCAAGAGCTGACAGAGGTAGATGAATTTGAGCTAGACAAGATTTTCCTTCGAGAAGAAGAAAAAGGGAGGAAGGGAGAGTGAAAAGAGTAGAGAGGGCAAGAATAGCTCAAAGCTGACTTTTCTTCTCCTACTATATTTTGTGCCTACGCTTCTAAATTGTTTGGATGTTTATTGTATCACATAAACACCAAGAATGCAGTCAACAATACCATTTTCTTCTATAGAAAAGTAAATTGTAACTATTCACATTTTCCCCATGAATTAAATCTATGTAGAATATTCCTCATTTCTAGCCTGAAACAATGTACCACAATAGTGCTTTGTGAGGCACTCCAGAGAAAAATAATGTAAAATAGAGCAGCTGAAATTTCTGATAAATGGTCCACTAAGCAGGTTGTACTGAACTACAAAAAAGAGATACTGGAACATGTCATGGTACCATTCCATTAATAATTTGACTAAGAGCATGTTGTTTCATTTTTTTGTAAGGAATATAGTGATTCCTTAAAATAATTTTCCCAGATTAAGAGCTGCTGTGGGGGTGTTGCTGCTGTTTTACTGCCAGTCCAAACTTACCTTAACTCTTCAAGGGCAAGCTTTGTTTCTTTCCGACTTTCTTCAGTGATCGGGTAGAAAAGGAGTATAAATAAACCTAAAAGGATGAGGATGGCAGGGACTGCTCCAATGAGGAGTTTCAGCGTGAGGATCACATCATCTGACTGTCTGCATATCCCTGGCTTGTATCCAGTAAACCTAAACAAATGGAAACAAGTGGGGTATGTGTTTGTTCAAAGCTAAAAGGCTATTGTTCACCTGAAGGCTTCTTTCTCCTCACCCCAAATCTTCAAGACTTTTCTCCCATTTTCCCTATACATATTTTTTTTTTCCTTCTCCCCACTACATTTCAAATTGTGTTTTTCAAACCTCCTTTTTGTGCTAGACTTCAGATAACTGTGTTACCTCTGTGTTTTCTTGTTATTATATATAATATTGAAGTTAATTATTGCTGTTGAAATTGGTCAAATTACTTGCATACTTTTAAAGAAAGGATTGTGGAATGCCATGTAAGGAAATAAACTGATGCCCAGCAAGTTCCTCCTGAACATGAGGCAGAACTTCTTTCCTGTGCACTGACTGAGCACTGAACAGATTGCCCAGAGAGACTGTGGAGTCTCCCTCACTGGAGATATTCCAGAACCATCTGGACACAATCCTGTGCCCTGTGCCCTGGGATGATCCTTTTTGAGCAAGGAAAGTTGAAACCAGATGAGCTATTGTGGTCCCTTCCAGCCCTAGCCATTCTGTGATTCTGTGAAATTAATGTTATGTGTTTCCTATTAATATTCAGCGAAGTATTCAAGCTCTGCTTTAAAAGCATGCAAGTAATTTGACCAATTTCAACAGCAATAATTGACTTTAATTTAAACACACACTTAAGCACTCATCTCAAGATAGACAAATTTACTCAAGTGCTCAGAGTTAGGTACACACTTACACTTCATTGATTCAGGGCTTCCATGCAGTCCCATAACTGCTGAGTTACTGAAATTCCTATTCCAAATTTGTGGAATGGGTTTTTCCTCTGAACATCCACCTAATGAAAGCTACAGCTCATCTGGCATCACTGTCTACTGTGTTCTCCCACAAATAGGTGTCTTGGCAAATTGCTGGGACTCAACTGGAATGCAATTGAAAAGGGGCTAATTGGGGAACAGCAAATTGTTTGAAGGTTTTAGCAATGAGTATCTAAAATTCCTAAGCCCAAAATTCCTAAGCATTGCCTGTTATTTAGCAATTTCAGCTCAAGGCTCCAAAGCAAAACATTCTGGTTACTAAAATCTGGAGCCAAGGGCTAGATTTCCCTTCTAAATATTTATTGTGTGCTGCAGCAGGGACAGGCAAGGGCCCTTTCTGCCAAGTCTTGCACAAAGGCAGGACAGGAGATGCCTGGCCACCTTCTCAACCTGTCTGGTCAGAACAGACAAGACAATGTGGAAAGAGACCATAAAACTTCTCCCAAAATGACATGGTCTAGGTGACAGACCTAGACAGAGAGAGCTGTGAAAAAGCTGTTCCTGACTCTGATCAGTATCCAGTTCCTTAAAACCATGCAGAATTGGTGATCCTTTCGTGCTGAACTCTCTGGCTCCCCTGAAAGCACTCAAATCCATGTAAAGTCTAACAAAAGATAGTCCAGTTCAGGTGCAACAGGGAATGCACAAAGCACCTGTATCACCTGTTGGGGACTTTGATCTGCTGCAGTTTCATCTTTAATACTTTTTTCACATAAGCCACTAAAATTTACATGAGTAATTGAAAAGAGGAAAATCTAAAGGGAAGTCATGTTTTTCTGAACAGTACCATATCAGGGCAAGTAACTTAATGCTTAATTTTCTGGCCTAGATGGCACCAATCCTGTCTTTAGTGGTCAGCCATCTGGAGCTGCTGGCACTTTCAGGCTCAGGGCACGAAGGCAATTAACTCCACAGGGTAAAAGTGTTGTAACCTCAGAATGCTTTCAGAGTAGATCCACTAAGTGGAAACACCGTGTTACTTACTCCAGTGCTGCTGCAGAAATTCCTAAGCCAATTCCTGCTGACATCTTGGTAAAAAAAACGTAAGAGGAATAGAAAATGGTTTCATGTCCTTTCCCATGGGGATTCTGCAGACGAAAGTTATCAACAACATCAGGCAGCATTGACCTAGAAGTGAGAAAGATAAAAGAAAAACTCAAGCCAAAATTTCTTCTCAAAGTCCAAAGTTAATGAAATAGAGCACAGCCCTCCTTCTTTTTTAAGCTGATTGATGTAGCCATGCACATGAAAGAATCCAGTTCAAAAGATTCTACTCCTGGAAGGAAGGCAAAAAATGTGTAAGAAAAGCATAGCCACAGATTACAATGTAGAAAATCACTGAAAAGCCATCAAACACTTAAGAGGTGACAGAATTTCCTAGTCTGCCTATCATTCCAATCAGAAGTTGTGATATTAAAAAAAGACAAACAAGCCCCCCATTTCTTAAGATTTCAAGGGACTCAGTGTCTGAATAGTTGCACTCTGAATTAACTCTTTTGACAAAGTAACAACATTTTCAAAAACCAGTTAAACCTTTCTCTATTTCAGAGAAACTGAATTAGGTAACAGGCAATTAGAATGGAAGCTACTCAAATGTTAATTGTGAACTGACATTTTATTTCCAGTCACCCCAGGACAATATGTAATTATTTACTGTTGGAAAAAGAAAGGTCTTCTCACCCTCTGTGCAGAAAAGCTTACATAGTCTGACAACTAATTTCAAACTATGTATTCCACGATCTCTTGGAGTTTTCAGGGCATTGTACAAAGTATGAAAAACAGTGCTCTCAGCAATGGTCTTGCTTTCTGGTTAATGTAACCTCAATAACAATTATTTAATCTGAAGAGGAAATGTTCTGCCATTCTTGAGTTGTTTTCCCCACTTATTTTCAATCTTCAAGTCCAAAAGACCTTGAATTCTTGGTTTATTTTAATCTTAACCTTGTGTATTTGATCTATAACAGAGGACTACTCAAGCAGAATCATGAATGATTTGGGTTGGAAGAGACTTTCAAAGATCATCTAATTCCAGCCCCCTGCCGTGGTCAGGGACATCTTCCACTATCCCAGGTTGCCCCAAGCCCCATCCAACCTGGGCTTGGACACTTCAAGGGGTGGGGCAGCCACAGCTTCTCTGAGCACCCTGTGCCAGAGCTTCACCACCCTCCCAGTGAAGAAACTCTAAAACTTAATCTAAATCTATCATCTTTCAGTTTAAAGTCATTACTGCTCGTTCTGTAACTACACGCCCTTATAAAAATTAAGATTAGATACAGTTTGCCTTATGTGTCCTCTGCTACATTCTTAATTGCTCAGCATTAATTGATTTACCTACCTTCATAATTCCTGAAGCAATGTTATCACACGTTGTACAGCTACTTAGATTATTAATTCATTTACATACAAAAATGTACAAAAATGTACATGTACATTTTGTCATGTACAAAAAGCAGCTACAGTTATGGTAGATGTACTTTGTTACCGGGCAATCAAGGTCACATCATTGCAAATAGCATCCACTATAAAACCAATAAAAGGTTCTTGGAAGAAGTGACTTTTGCCATATTCTGCCTCTTTCAGAGGCAAATTCCATGCAGTAGTATATACATGTAATGCAGAAATACATTAATTCCCCACCTCAAATGTAAAATTCTCCTACCATGGCAACAGAAGAGACGCTGCAATGCTCAGACCAGAGATGAAGGACACAAAGTAAGCCAGGATCAGGTTTGGAATGGTCACTAGCATGACTGCAAAAGGAATCATCCACTGAAGAAGAAAAGCATTATATTTAAGTTACAGCATGCACCCTTCAATGCTATACACATTATTCCCTTCAAAATACAAAACTATGTTACAGAACAGTTAACAGCAATGTCTCACACTTCAGTATTTTGGTCAAATTGAATTTCCAAAAAGCCCTGAGCTAATCTGTACTTAACTACCCAGAATAATTGGAGAAAAGTAGGACAAGTGATAGTGTTGTCTCTGCTAGCAGTATTACAGCTACAAATGAAATAGTAAATTAAACAGACCCAAGAGCCTATTTACCAGTCTTGAAGCCAATTCACAAACCCTGGCCACATTTATGATCCTAAACAGTCATGGTTTCCAAAAGACCTATGGACATATAAATACTTTTTCTGAAGAGCCCTAAAGTGGTTGATTCCCAAACTGTGCTAGATAAAATAATAGAATGGTTTGGTTTGGATGAAACCTTTAAAGATTATCTCATCCCAGTCCCCCTGCCATGGGAAGTGACACCTTCCACTAGACCAGGCTGCTCTAATCCCCATCCAAGTGTTCAAGCCCTGGCCTTGAACACTTCCAGGGATGGAGCACACATAGCTTTTCTGGGCAACCTGTGCCAGAGCCTCTCCAGCCTCAGAGTAAAGAATTTCTTCCTAGTATCCAATCTAAATCTACACTCTGTCAGGTTAAAGCCATTCCCCTTTATCCTATCACTCCACGCCCCTGTAGGAAGTCCATCCCCAGCTCTCTTGAAGCTGCTTTAGGCACTGTAAGGACCTCTAAGGTCTTCGCAGAGCCTTCTATTCTCCAGGGTAAATAACCCTAGCTCTCTCAGCCTGTCTTCATAGGAGAGGTGCTCTAACCCTCTGATCATTTTTGTAGTCCACCTTTGGACTCACTCCAGCAGGTCCACAACCTTCTGAGGTGGTGGCTCCCAGACTGGATGCAGTATGGCAGGAGAGGTCTCGTGAGAGTTGGAGCAGAGGGGCAGAATCACCTTCCTCAGCTGCTGTCCATTCTGTTTTTGAAGTGTTTGGTTTCGTAGGTTGCAAGTGCATATTACTGGGTCATCTTGAACATCTTGTCTACCAACACCCCCATTTCTTTCCCCTCAGGGCTGTTCTCAATCCATTCACTGCCCACACTGTTTTTGTGCTCAGGATTGTCCTGGCCCAGATCAGGATTTTTGCTTGGCCTTGCTGAACTTCATGAATTTCCCCATGATCCCACCTCTCAGGCCTGTCCAGGCCCTTCAGGATGGATCCCCTCCATCCAGCGTGTCACCTGCACCTCACAGAGCTCAGTGTCACCAGCACCCCTACCTCGGTCCCTCTCTCCATGTCACTGGATATTGACAAGGATATTGAGCAGCCAGTCCCAGTACAGACCCCTGGGGATGACAACCCTCACTGGTCCCCACTTGGACATTGAGCCACTGACCACAACTCTGGTTGTGGATGGCCACCATCCAGCCCATTCCTTATCCACTGAGTGGTCCATCCACCGAACCCATGCCTCTCCAGCTTACAGACAAGGATGTCACCCAGGACAGTGTCAAATATTTTGCACAAGTCCAGCTAGACACTGCCAGTTGCTCTTCCCTTATCCATGAACACTGATAATTCTCAGGAGATTGCTAATCAGCTTGGGCAAAGATTTCTCTGCCAGTTAAATAACAGAGATAACCAAATGTCCATTTCTATTCTAGTCCAGTGGAACTATTTAATTTACTATTAGAGACAATGCCTGAAAACATCCTCACACTGCATTTCAAGTGGAGTGGTAGGGCTTCAGTGGTTATTTTAAAGTGTAAATATAACATTTCATGGATCACCTTCAGTCTTGAATGAGGGAGAATTTGCTTTCTTTTCCAATCATCACTTTAAAGCATATACATACTCAGCAATAACTAAACCCAAAAGTCAGAGTAGTTTACTCCGCTCCCCACAGCTGGATCCACTCATTGTATGACAAGCCACAGAGGTTACCCACAAAACCAAATTAATTTGGTATGCTTGAGATTTTTTTTTTTCTGGCAGTAGTCATAGTCACTAGATTTCTTCAACTTCAACTTGAAGCAATGGGCTTACAGGACTGAAAATCCACTTTTTAAAATGCTGATTGAATGCCTACTGCCCAGCTGTCCTATACCCGTCACATGCTCCATCTCCCACGCCTGTGAACCACAGGCACAGCAGCACATGTAGAATCCAGAACCAGGGGCTTATCTACAGGGCTTTTTAATGATGGGGGATTAGTTTAACATTAAGTGTTTCAATCCTCTATACGTGCAGCTTGGGAGCTGAGGGTATGAGAAGAGCTTTCACAGAGAGTGATTCCCCTAAGCACTGCTATTTACAGTTCTGTATGATAAGTGATTCTGGGAGTCCTGGAGTCTAATCCATTATGTTTATGTTTTAAATGCATTTCCCATCTAAAGCATTTGCTCCCAAGCTAAGGAGGCAGAAAATAACCTTTCCTGCCTGCAAGTTCCCAGCACAGGCAGATAATCCTTGCATTAGCCCAGTGTTGTGGCAAAATCGTTATTTCACCACAAGAGAGCACTCCAGCAATATCAGATTTTATGTTGTCTATAAGCAATTTTATGACTGCCTTATGCTCCACATGAGGCACCCACTCAGAAACCAAAGCACTTAAACAAAATTCTAGATCGATAATAATAATCATTGTAACTGTAATTTCCTAGAGAAAGAGAAGCAGGACCAGCAGGGCTGAGGTTACAATGCTCTAAAGTCTTGCTCGTGCAGTGGCAGCGCAGTCATGGGGCAGCGCTCCCACTGCAATAAACAGCTAATGCAGCTCCTTCTTTCTTACTTGTAAAGCAAATACTCTGTTATTGGCATCTGCTCCCTTGTCACAGGGCTGCTGCCCTCTGAGTTATGAACAACATCCTACAGCTATCCCGTGCCTCCCATCCATTCCCTGCTGTGTAAGGTGACGCTGCTGGGGTGCTGAAGGTGGTACTGATCTCTGCAGCAGCACATTATGAAGGGCAAATCAGGAAAAGGTGCAGGGAGGATGAGTGGAAACAGGATGGGAGAGTGGAAACGGGGCTGCAGAGCCAGGACTCATCCAAAGACATCTCTCCATGCTGCACAGTGCTCAGAGATGGCAAATAAACAATTGCGTATCTGTGAGGAGGTGCTCTTATTTTTATGAAATCCTGCAAAACCCACAGCCAAAAGATATTACTGGCTAGGATGGAAGCTAGTGCTGTGGGAGAGAGCCATCTTTGTTTCTAGACACCTTGTCAAAACTATGAGCCAAGAAGATACCACACCTCTTAAAATTTCTCATGACAACTTCACTTCCAGTCACCAGCTGAGACTTGGGGAGTGTAAGTTCAGTGTTTGCCCGGTGAGGGCAGAGCAGACACCTAAATGAACACAGCACGTGGAAACTGAAGGAAATAAACAGAAGAGAAAAATTTCTAGCCTGTGCACCAACCTGGTTGTGGGAAGAGTGTGATCAAGGATCCTGCTTGGGAGCAGGATAATTCCTGATAATTCCAGAAATTTAGACTTCTAGGAACTTGAGATACTTAATCAGTTAGACTTGATCACCTCTTTTGGTGGAAGAAAGCCAAGATTCTTGTTGCTTATCTACCAACCAACCCCTAAGCTCTTTGAAGGCTCTCTTCAACACAGAATCACCTTAACAGGAAAAATTAGTCTGGAGTGCTGTGACTTTTTTTTCAGGAAACTGAATTTCCAATCACATATTCCCCCTGCAAACTGAGAGAGGTTATAGAGAAAAAAAGAATAAAAATTGTTTTCTTCCCTGTCTCATTCTCTTCCAGTAGAACATTCCCCAATGACAAACTGAGGAGCCTTAAATGATGTGCTTTTATTTCATGGTGGGAGAATACAGATTAGTTGTACAGATCACACAAGGTGGTAAGGTAGGAAGCTCCTGTGATGCATTGTCAGACACAAAATCCATCACTGAGCTCACACTGAGTCCCCTGAGAAATGTCTGCAAGGTGAAACAGAGAGGTGGCTTTTTTTCAGTCCATCCCCCACTTAGACCATAACAATCAAGCAACTCAACTGTAAAATTAAGTTAAACCATGTTTACAGAGGTGCTGACAGGCTTTCCAGTCATGTAAAACTAAATTTATAGAGCCAAGTTGGTTGAAGAAAGCATTTTTTGTGGCCAAGTAGACAGAGGAGGAGATTTCCTAAGGAGGAAATCTGCATTCCCAGGTCTAGTCAATGGGCCAATACTGCTTTTGACAGTTCTCTTTGCTCAAGTGGTAAAAAGAAATAAAGATGGGGCTCAAATTCCAGATGCCTACTTCAAAACACATAACAATTCAGCTTATTTGGAACTTGCGTTTTAAAGTTATTTCTGATTCTCTGGAAGTCATTACAACACAGCTTTTAATTCCAAAAATTATAACTGTGCAATTCTATTCAATAGCTGTCACCAGACCTAAATTTTTCAGCTTTGTTCAGATTTTGACATATAGCTTTGGGCTGGATTTTTCAAGTCCTCCTGCTTTGTTGTACACAAGGCAATTTTTCTTTCCTCTTTCATAAGTAATCGAAGGTAAACAGGGGGAAAATGGGGAGGAACAGGCCTATACAATAACTCACCGAGGATGATGACAGAAAATTGCTGCTGTCTGCACTAAGTAAGGGACTTAAAATAATCCATCAGTGACAAGGGCAGGCTCACTGAGCTGGCTTTGCAGAGCTGTGTCAGAGTTAAACCAGGCTTCTTTTCTCAGGTAGGTCACCTTTTCCTTTACTTCACTAATAACTGTCCCTCCCTATTCAGAGGGATGTGGATGCTCCTTGAGGGGGGATGTGACAGAATTTTCTTTCTTTCTTTCCATGGGACTGAATTACCAATGCAGACACCTCAGCACCATATAACAAAGACAAAACAAACCTTGCACAACAGATAACTTGTCAACATGAGGCAACTCAGATCTGAATTTACAAAACTACATTGAAGCTCAGTTCTGAGAGCTTCAAATAAGGAAAACTCATGCAAATTCTTAAATAAGCTGGGACCTCCCTCCGGCATCCATTTCTCAAAAGTTTTCCTTGGAAACTTGGAATCTGTCTGAAATTTGGTATAATGATTTAAAACAAACTCTGGAACTCAGCAAATTTCACATAGATTGAGGTTATAAGCACTTGAAAGAGCTGCTGAAGTGGCTCCAATTGTCAAATGAAATGAGCACAAGCAGAATTTTTTTTCTCAGAGGATTTGCTTACCGAAATCCCACATGCTGCACACTTCTTGCCAAATCTCTGCAGAAACTTCTGCCAGAAGGGAACACTCACAACTGCTGATACCTACAAGAGACAAAACCCCATATCTGTACTGTGCTTACTTCCACTGACTTCAGCTGTAGAGCTCACAGACATCTTTTTGTCTAGAACATAAAAACCTGAATAGAAGGTGAACATGCAGATTCTTGTTTCTCCTCATCCTTTGAGTGACTTTTTAAAATTCACTGTTAAGCTATCCGTCAGAGGGTTTTCCACAGACAAACCTCAGAAGATAGTGTCTTAAAATTTCCTTTTCTAATGCTAGCCACAGCAGTCAAAGCTGTGCTCAGTTATAAAAGTTCAAACATACTGCAGTCACACCTTGTGCTACTGCCTTTTGCCACACTGTCTGAACCTGACAAATGATGAGTGAGTTCAGCTCTACCCCATGGTACAGGAAGAAAGCTGAAGTGCAAGGTAAACCTATCCTAAGATATGCTTAAGAGTACATAATCCATACTGTGTGTCCCTTCTTAGGAACAATCTGTAAAGAGTTGTTTGCAGTTGACATTACTGTTTCAGACACTGAAATACTCTCCCACAGCAGCAACAACCACAAGCAATGTAGTGCCCATGCACTGAAGTACTGCTACTAATGGCAGCCTTACACTTGACCTTTATTTAAATGTCATTTAATTGTTACAGTTATATTTCAGTCTTTACTTTAACTCTACTGTCTCTTGTCTCTCTAATTGATGACCATCACTTGCAGAGACTTAAGATACCCAGCACTCCTCTTTTGCTCTCCAACATCTTGGTTTTAATGGTTTTTGAAAAGATTTGTCTTATAATGTGGGAAAGGGTAAGTATCACCTAAGCAAGCAGAATTCTACCTCTGCATGTCAAGAAAAAGGATTCTGTGAAAGGATCTTTTTATCACACTGCCAATTGCTCTAGAGAGGAATCTTCATATTTCTGTATATTTTAAATATTTATCCTTGCAAGCTGCCTAGCCCAGAGGAGTTGTGTGTATGAATATGCAAATTTAAGTTGTTTAATTTTCAGCACATGGGGTTGGGGAAAGGGACAAAGGAGGTAAAAATCCAGACCTCCTTTCTAGAAGCAGCTTCTGTCTTTTATTGAAGCTGTGGCTTACAGGTAAAAACAACAAGGAATGACTTAAAAGCTCCAAACCACTATTTTTTTAGAAGTACAGTAGGGAGCAACAGCTTTATTTCAAACAAACAATACAAAAAATAGTATAGGCTCCTAACAGCTCTGCTGAGACACAAGACTCTTCTTGTCTTCTGTAATTTTGTGTCAAAGCCCAGCAAGAACCAGGTAACATTTGGGAGAGAAGCACAACTCACCAAGATGGTCACCACCAAATACTGGAAGTGATTGCGGAGGCCAGCAGCGTGTGTGCAGAACAGGACAAAGTTCCCCTGCTCCAGCTGTTGAGTTTAAGACATTTGGTGACCACCAAAAGACAAAGCAAATTAAAAAAAAAAAAAAAAAAGACAAAAATTACATCACACTCCATATTAGTTAAATATAGTTGGTGACTGATTTGTTAAATGTAGGGTTTGGGAGTCTCATTCTTCCCTTGTTTGCAGCAATTTAAAGAAGCAGTGATTGTCCTGTTATCACTGGAATAACATGCCAATAATACTGGGGCAAGCAAGAGCTAAGCCACACCTAATAGGCCATAACAGAAATGCCCCTATGAAAGTATTCTGTCTCAAGGCTTTATTCCCTAAGTCCCAATTGCCTTGTGTTGTCACAGCTGCAGGCTACTGCAAGAAACTGGCTTTTCTCTTCCCCAGAAAGGCTATAAATCTTTCTCTAGAAGCTCTGAATCCAAAACAAGTTACATTTCAGCTGTAATAACACTCCTGCCAACTTCCTGTGGTAAAGCAGATGGTTTTGTATGCACCCTCAGGTATGGAGTGTAGCTCTGGGTCACATCTCCCTACATCTGAATCCTCATCAGATGGGAGGATCTAACTGCACTGTGGTAGATGACAGGTGAAGCCACTGCCACCACCATGCTTCTGCAGAACTCATTTGGGATTCTGAACACCAGGATATGATGGAGGGCCAGCTCTGCAGAAGAAGAGTGATAGAAGAGGATTTAATACTCATGCCACAGCAGCATGATCAATTCTTGCTCCTTTGTGTGCTTGTAGATTACAGGTGGCCAACCACCTGTATATAAATTAGGATATCCAAAAAGTTGCATCCTGTCTCTGTTGCCACAAAACCCTTCCCTAGTTTGTGACCCTGTTCATGCTGCCCTAATTTTAGACATGGGATATCACACTCTGGAATTACAGCCACTGCATCTTTACCTGCCCACTCCTTTTGCTGATCAGTAATCCACTATCTAAATTCCACAAAATCAGTGTCCCTCCCTCAAATAAAAGCAGAGAGTGTTGCTCATGCTGGCTCAACTGGAGTAACAGCTTCCAGCTTCTGCCTCCCCTCAGACCTTCCCCTCAGTCAGCACAAACAGCCAAACAGAGAGCTGTGGACTGACAGAATATCTTTTCCTCTCTGGGTGTTGTCAGCAAGTAGTTGCCTGCCAGCAACCAGATGTGCTCTATATCCCTGCTGACTGGGTGGATGCTGGAAGGATGTGGACAATAAGGAACCTTCTATCTTTCATATTCTCCCTATCTCTGCAGTTGCACACAGTACTTCAGCTCCCAGACATGAGCAGAAATAACTTCTGTTATTGTTTCTCACCCTTGGGTATTCCAGCAAGGACTAACAGACGCTGTGCCCAAATCCAGGCCAACAAAAAAGTTCAGCACTTCTTTGGCAAACAAACTTTTAAGCAGCCCTTGCAAGGAACTTAATTCACCAGGACTGCTGGTGAGCACAGCACTGCTCTCTGACATGTCTTATTCTTGCCTTCTGTCCTGGTCAATGATCAAACCTTGATCATTGGTTCATGTGACTAAGAGTCTCTTGGCAAAAATGTGATAATTATTTTATTTTCAAAATAAAGCAAACTTTGAGTGATATATACAAGTTCAGAGTGAAATAATATATTTACTGAATTGAATATGTCTTAAAAGTCAGGATTAAAAAGCCTGCTGTACTTATGGGGAGTGAGGGTTTCTTACTGAGGGATTTTTCTACAGCTCCTCTCTATGGGAGGATGCACCACATCTTTTTGTGACAGCCACATCCAATTGCAGGTCCTCATTTCAAAATGAGCTCTACCTAACTCTGAAACAGGTGAGGCCTCCTGCCTCTGAATATCTTCTTATTCTGACCTAATGCCTTCCATCACAAAAGACTCCACAAGACCCAGTTCAGCCACTATCTGAGAGCAGTCACCTATGCAAAGGAAAGGGGCAACAGTTTAAAGCACAGAGAGAGGAATAGATAGAAGAGAAAAAGCATTCTCTAAGCAACTGAAACCACAGGAGACTGTGCATGGGTAACACAGAATGACCCAGACTGGGTCACTAGGACTAGTTCTTCACCTTTTATGAAAAAAAAAAAGAAAAATAAAAAGAAAAAAGAAAAAAGAAAAAAGAAAAGAATCTTTAAATGGTCAGGACTTTTGCTTTGTTTCTGTTTTGTAAGAACCATCTCCAGCCACACAGGATCCCAGGCACGAAAGGAGGACTCTGGTTCCCTACTGATTTACAGGGGAAGGCAACACCCCCCAGATCACCCCTCCAGTCACCAGCCAAAGGTTATTTGCATTTCAGACTCTCCCACGCTGGGAGTGGAATGAGGCCAGCACACAGACTGAGAGGGTCTGAAGTTACCTGAACTGCTGTCGAGATGAGAAGAAATGAAGCTGTAAGCTTCACATATGGACCATGCTTCATGGTGAGTGCAAGCCCCTTACAAAAAGGAATTGCTCTGTCTGATTTTAAGGCATAAGGATCTAAGAGAAGCAGAATACATAGAATAAAAATCTTTTCAGTACAGGAATGTGAAATAACTATCATTAAACTGAGGCATATTTAAATATAACTTACCATCCCTTTCCTTTACTCCAAGAAAAAGAATGACAATTCCAAGAAGATACACACCTGCTATGACCCCTGCTGCAATCATGTAAACTTTTGCCTTTCAAAAGGAAAAAAAGACATTTGAAATTGTGACAGGAGAATGACAAGTCATTATGAAAATTTCAGTCCCTTTTTGGTAAGCCACCTGAAAATGAAGAAATACTCATCTGCATACAGCCAAATGCCTGTCTGCTACCTTGCTGAAAAATGTTCACTTCTGCAGTTCCTTTATAAACCACACCTGCCTTAGGACAAATTCAGGGCATATAAGTATATATTTCTTAAAAAAAAAAAAAAAAAAAAAAAAAAAAAAAAGCAGTGAACAAAAGGGTTACTGTGTTGGCAACCTGAATATTTTAAAAATTTGCTTATGTTGAGACTAACTACAGACATACACAGTCACCTAATCAAAACCATGCATCATCCACAGAGGCATTCTCATTTTCAGTAAGTCCAGTTGATCTGGCTACACAGACCACAATCTGGAATTTCATGGTGGATAGGAGAGCCCTCAGTACTGATGTAAACATGATGATAATAATGGAAATTATGGATTTTAGAAATCATACTTACATGCCAGTGTTTTGTGTAAGGTACCTTGCATGCTGGTTTTCCCACTTATTTAGTGAAATATCCAAGCAAATTCAGAAATCTTTGCTTCCATTTAGCCAGGGGAGAAAAGCCTCCAAGGATACTTCCCACACCACCAGATCACACTTACTTCTGCTAACTCTGATTACACTGACTTTGGATTAAAGCTTTAAAAAAATAACTTAGTTTAAAGCTATTTAAAAAACTATTAAAACTAAAAGCTATTAAAACTATTAAAAAATAGTTTAAGTTTAAATTGCTTAGTTTAAGCAATTTTTAAAAAAATGCTTTAGTATAATGTAATAATTAACCTGATAATGTGTTATCAAAGATAGCTTATAGAGCTTTGTGAAACAATGATTACTTGATAGGATAACTGAATTCAAATTTATTGGTTATATGTTGTAGATGAAGTTATTGTAAGTCTAAGAAGAAGTTGGTAAAAAAAATGCAATTACAAGAATGTACTTCAAAATATGAAGACATTAGTATAGGTGCAAATTTATCCAGATGAACCATGTAAGAATAGAAAATTTTCAAGAAAGCTGCTTTTGTTAAGATGTTTACATTTCAGAAAATAACATGGTGAGATGTAGGAATGCAGCACTATTCTTCAGAGCTAGAAATTAAGTAACAGAGTACTTTCACACTGTTGGCTATGGCTTGCAGAGAATACAGAGTGCAGCAGTGGAGACACCTGAATTCATTTAAACAAGGCAATTTCAGCCTGAAATGTAGCTGAGCCAGGAGAGAAGGGGATGAAAAACAAAGATGGCAACAGGACTCCTTTATTAATTCTCTATTTTGTTTTTATGTATTTGTTAATTTGCTTGAAGCATTTGAATTAAATGTTGTGTTTCATAGGCCATCATTAAATGTAATTTGAGCTTAAACCATCAAGGATACTCATGGCAGGCCAAGTAAGATTCTCTAACCCTGAACAAAACTTGTTAGACCATCTACAACTCTATCAATATTCATGTTTGGTTTCCAGTAATAAAGATCCATTCATAAGCTTATAGTAACAGCTCCAGGAGAGCTTAAAAATAACCATTTCTTCCTCTTCCTTTCTTTCAATAAGGAGAAAAATAATATCAAGTTGTTCACTAAGTGCTTTTTAAAACTATATGTGCTCTTGAGCAGCTAAGAATTAGTCCTTGTGACAGAAAGAGTCAGACTCCTGAAAGGCATTAAAAGAAAGTCAAGGTTTGCCCTCTTCTAAATATTTCCTGATGGAGGTACTTCAAATTCAATTAATCTAGTCTTGCCTCAGCTTGTAACTTAATGCCTATCAGCCATACAACCAAAATTCAAGATCCATCAAGATCCAATTCAAGATCTCCTCTTTACTGTGCAATTAATTAGGTGCATATTCTGCTGTGTGTGGTGTGAACAAAGGGCAGGTTTCCAGTTACTCTGCAACTTCTTCAGATCTGAAAAATGTTTGTGTCTGAAAGCTTTCCCATCATTTCCCAGTTTCAGTATCTAGTTTAATGAAAGATAATGCCTCCATCTACAAACTCTGGCTACTGTAGGCTATAGATTTCTATTAGTTTTTCAAAATAAAAAACTACTTGACATTCACCTCATTGTGAAGTTCCTTTCTCAATCTCCCTCCTACCTCAGAAAGGACAGGAAAGTACATGTGGTTAGACAGACAGGAAATAAATCAAGATTGTGTAATTTTTTTCCCTTGAAAGCCATTTCAGAGATTTCAAAATAGAAATTGGGGAATTTAGTCTGAAGTAGATTCAGATAGGGAATCTGCTGTGCAATGAAATTGTTTGTGCCATGACTTTTCAAGATACTCACCCCAACAATTCACAGAGGTGTAATAAACACAGTAGTGTTCTAAATCAAATCATTGTCCCAGAAGCTAAAAAGGAAGGCAGGATGATGTTCTGTGTCTTGTTGAAACACACACCACAAGTTACCAAACAAGCATCTTCAAAAACACCTTATTCAGCCATAAAATGGCGTGGCCACTTAGAGAAGCAGCCCAGCTGTCCTCTGACTATTGCCCAGATCAGCTCTATCAGCCTGTGCCAACAAAAACAAGGATCAGGTGGCACAGAGGCAAAGGATAGGAACGGGGGGAGGCAAGGTTTCATCCCTTTCCTAGACCACCAGTGCTAAAGCCAGTGTGCAAATCCAAAACATAGATAAAAACATGCCTTTAGTTTGTGATTTTACTGCTGCTGGAGCATGATAATAGGAGCTACTCCACTGCATTAGGAAGAGCACAAATATGTATTTTCTCATTTACATCAAGCATTTGAGATTAGATTCAGGTCACGGAATCTTCTTCATGGATATTATATATACAGGTTGGTACTTGCACTGACAGAGCAACAGATGAAAGTATAAAAAGAAAGGATGAATGCAGCAGTTGGTAACTTGGAACCAACAATCTGCTGATTTCACAAGTGACATAGGAAAAAACACTACACAATGTAATTGTTTAAGTCAGAGTCTCTTTCAAGACCACTGCAATCAATGGAAGACTATCAAATTGTGCTAACTGAGGTTTGGATCAGGTTTTAGGTTTTCCTCCCAGATATAAAACTTTGTTTCTCAAAAAATATAAAACTCAAGTACAAGGAGATCAAATTATTTATGCAAAATTACAGGAAAAGCCTGTCATGGGAATTTAAATAAACAAGCATGGATCCCTAGGTTCATTCCACATGTTAACCACTGAGATCTGCCCCCACTAATGGGCTGTTACCAACCATTTACTTTCAACAGTGCTTCGTATCCTCACAAAAGTACAGATTCCAAATAGGACTTAGAGTTTCATTAACAAAATTGCCATTGGTCTGTACAGGAGATCTTCAGTGGTAACTCCTTTGGAATTCAGTGTTGCTGAACTGAAAGATCCTGCTGTAGCCAACATTTTTTCATGGAATCATAGAATGATTTGGATTGGGTGGGACTTTCAAAGATCATCTCTTTCCAACCCCTTGACATGGGCAGGGATATCTTCCACTATCCCAGGTCGCTCTGAGCCACATACAACCTGGCCTTGAACACTTCCAGGGATGGGGCATCCACAGTTCCTCTGGGCAACCTGTACCAGGGCCTTGTCACTCTCATTGTAAAAAAAAAAATAAATAAAAAAAAAAAGTCTTCCTAATATCTAACCTCTTTCAGTACCTCCCTAATGTACCCTATTTCAGTTTAAAACCATTCCTCCTTGTCCTGTCACTACAAGCCTTAGTTAAAAGTTTCTTCCATCTTTCTTAAAACCCCCTTTTTTTGTACTGAAAGGCTGCAATAAATTCTCCCTGGAACTTTCTCTCCTCCAAGCTGAACAAATCCAGCTCTCTCAGTCTGTATTCACAGGAGAAGTCCTCCAACCTTCTGACCATTTTTGTCTCCTCTGGCTCTGCTCTAACAGGTCCATGTATTTCTTGTGCTAGGGACCCTAGGACCAGATGGAATATTTCCAGAGAGGTAAACTGCTTTTCTTATTAAGCTTATATAAACTGTAAATCAGCCCCTGGTGAAAACAAAGTGTGGCCATGTCCCTTCCAGCTGCTTTATGGGTTTGGCACCACCTGCAAAGCTCCTCAAAGAAATTCTGGTGTCACACTGAGGAGGGTTTGCAAAGACAGCAAAAATGGAAATCATTGTCTGCAACAAGGTCATTGCCTCAGCTCAAATCACATCACAGATTTCAAGGAAGTTGTGTTCATGCTCATCCAGCTGGATATGATATGGTATTAGAGAAACATCCCCACGGTCCTCTGTAGGATATTTTAGTGTGCTCCCATAGACACTTACCTGATGAGACAGGGGATCTGAGGGGTCTGGAATGCTGGGAGTGTCATGCCAGGAGTCAGTGGTGTTTACTGAGGGATTCACAGTGCAGTGAGGAGAGACATGAGCACTGGCCACAATCTGCCCCTGAAGTGCAGCTCCAATCAAGGTCCCAAGAACTTCCATGGTCATTCCTAAAGAATAGAAGCACAAATGTGCACTGAGGATGAGAATCTTGCTCATCTGTCTCACTGAAGATAAATGTAATCAAACCATTTCCTCTTACAGGAATGAGCAATGCCAAGAACTGAACTGAAAGGTCAGTCACGACAGTTTCAAGGAAAGAGAGTTTTGTCATTTATTTTCTGATGAGCTTTGAGAAGCATCATCCATGAAAGAGCCTTTTCTATACAAGCTGCATGAGAGATGGGAATGCTGAGATTAAGAGACACAAGGGGATAACGCGGAGATCTTTCATCTTGAGGACCAGAGTGGAACAAATTTTTAAATGCCATTTTTTCCAAAGCAGGACTTGGAGTCATGACGTCAGACTGAGTATCAAACTTGACAGCAACTTGTGAAACAAGTTATCTTATCTAATCAGACATCTGAGTCCTCCAGCTGTAAAATAAAGTGATACTTGCCTCAGGTTTATAGAAATAGTGCAGCTACAAAGGTCTTGGAAAAAGCAGGTGCTGTTGTTACTTGCCTAAGGCCAAAGTCATGCAGATCTACCTACTTCAACCTAAGAGAACGATTCAGATCATTAATTATCACCAGAAGAAGGAATCATCTAAAAAAAAACAATCAAAGCCTCCATTTAGGAAACTACCTATGGGCATCCTCTCATGAAATTGACCTGACCAGGTGTTGCAACTCTGTTAAGGAAAATGGTGAAAAATTTGGGTTCTAGACCCTCCTCGCTCTGAGGGATTTTAAGCCTCCTGTGCCTGTTTCTCTGCAATATGGCCATATCCATCATCCCCATGGCCAGGAGATAAACTGAATTCCTGTCCTAGCTCCAGAGACTCATTACACATTTTGCATAAAGATACATTAGGGCTGAATGAACAGATTGAGGATGAGGACAAAGTCTCCTCATTTAGGAATGAACTTCTCATTGACCCAAATGTCAGGCTTTTTTCCTATTGTTTCTCTTTCAGTGACTCCCAGGGTCATATGTTCCTTTCTGAGAAGCACCATGGAGGATTCTGAAGGGATGCTTCCAGAGCAGGTTGTGTCCTGGTGGTTATCATGCTCCCTCTGGGAAGTGACAGGTGTTTCAAAAGCTCCTAGGTTCATGTTTATTCAAGTCTCCTGATCTGTAACAGCCTTCCTAGGTGACCTCAGACTTTTTGTGCGTCCCTGTAAACGAAAATAAATTCTTCACCATCCAAAGGGAGGGCAACGCACACAGATTGTGAGGGGTTCAGACAGCACAGCAATGCAGGCCATGTGCAGCTATGCAAGATCCAGTAAGGAAAAGGGAAGAGAGGCTCCCTAGGAGACCTGGACCTTTTAAACCACTGCTACTTTGTTCCCAAACTGAGAATGCCTTTGAGTGGAAAATTTGAGGCACCGTGTAACAGTAAGGGAAGTAAAAAAAGCCCCTTCCCCAAACTTCACATCCAATCTTACCAGCAATGCTGTAATTCAGTCCATGCACACAAAAATCCTGGCAGATGGTGGAAATCTAACCCAAATCTGGCCTGAAGTGTTTGGACACAAACTGGTCTCAGTTGGGCGTTGCAGAGCTTCCAAACTCAGTGCAAAGGCAACACACTCAAATCACACCTTTCATTCAAAACACCACCTACACATTCATAACCTTTGTCTAGGCTCCTCATCTGCATTTTATCAAGCACTTGCATAGAATAAAACTCAGAAGTGTCATTAGAGGCACCAGAAAGACAACCACTGTGAAACTTCATTTTCTAAGTAGTAGCAAGAGCTGAGGAACAGGTATCCTTCAAAGTTCTTGTGTGCTCAGAATTTATGATGTATTACTTTCCACATCAGTTGATAAAGCTGATCTGCCAGCAGATTGTACCTTGAAGTAGGTTACATTTTGGCCAGAATATAAGTAGGAATTATGTTAAAGCAGCTTTGGAATCCAGTATTTCTACTCTGCATTAATAGCAACAGCAGAATAAAATTTGTAATAAGCAGTTCTGCTTGTCTCCAGCAGAGGGTAATGGATCCTCTGATCCCAACCTTATTTTTAAGAGCACACTTCATATTACACAGCTGTTTTTCTTTAACAGTTGAAGAAATGCCTGAACAACAGACTGCATCCAAGACAGTCTATCAACAAGAACTCTCTATGAAGCCCAAAGAGAGGCAAAAGTGTTTAAGTAAAACAAAAAAGAAAAATATTAAAAACAAGGTTCTCACATAAGCATTACAATTAAAACAAAATTTTTCTCCAAACAAATATATCAACTTAGACAAAAATACCAACATCTGAAAAGTCAAAACTATGGTTCATTCCACCACCTTAATTTGGTTTAGGAGAACAGCTGTACAATCAAAAGTTAAACTCTTTCTGAACAATAAAATGACACTATAAATGTGTGACACCTTCCAGCCATGAAGTTCAACAGCTTTTATAAGTTTCACATGCTGATGAAGCCCAGCATAGCAGACCAGAAAGCACATTTATTTGGATCACAGCCTCTGAAGACATAAAACCAGACAATAGAAAACACTAGGTACATGGGTTTAGCTAGAATTTAGGCCAGATGACTCAGAATACAATCAGTGCCAAAGAATACAACACAACTGGAATCTCCTGCTGTTTAGTCCTGTCCTGTGACTGCCAGTCCAGACTTTTTCTTAAAGATAGTTGATGATAATGCAAATTACAATGTTCCGTGTCTCTGGAGAGGGATTGGGCTGCTCAGGGGATTTCGTATCTAGAATTTTGACATTACATTTTTAGTACTTTTTGCTATTTCACTGTGCCTCTCTGGGTTTCAACATAATCAAGTATGTTGAGGGTTAGAAGGACTAATGGAAGAGAAAAGGGATCTTGCTAGGAAGAGAAAACAGATGCCACAAAAAAACCTACAAGTTATTCTAAAGGAACACTGTAAGGACAAGTTAAGACATAGAAAGGTCTTTCATGTAATATTTGACTTTTTTCTCTTTACCTTGCTTAATGCAGTTACACAGTGAAGAAGGCATGAGAACAGAGCTGAAGAGGGCAAGAGGGGAGGAAACTGTTCTTGCATTCAGTTTATGATCTATACAGGAAATCTTGAAAATATTTTCACTGCACTTTTTTTGGTCTGATTGATTTGCTTCAAAGCTAAAATTTTGTCTGGTTTTGGTTGTTGAAGAGCCAGAGATACGGTCTGGAAAGCCTCATTCTTTTAACTAATACACTCAGAGGATCTGAACAAGATCTGCCTTTAAACTTCCAGGTGTATGTAAGAATTAATTAAAAAGTCACAGATGAAATGAAAAAAGAGATTTCAGTTGGTGCGAACATGCACACAAAATTACTTTCCTTTTTGGTGAGGTTAACTGTCTTGGTTCTATGAGTTCTCAATTTTTTTTCTGAGAAAATGGGATTTGGACTTGAATTCATAACACAAAACACAAAATCTGAGGAAATATCAACTAAAAAAAAGACAGCAACAAAACAAAATAACAAACCCCAAATAAAAGCAAAACAAAAAACTCCTCAAAATTACTTTCATACTTTCTTTAATTGAATGTTTCTTGGTTTTTCCCTTACAAATCACCTTTAAATTAAATCAATATTCCTTACCCTGACTTGGTTAAGAGTGATTTTTTATTGTTTCCTCTGGCTAGCAATAAACAAAAAAGAGTTTATAGCTAATCAGACAATTTGAGACAATTAAATATTAACATCTCCTATTTAACTAGAAAAATGCAATTCCTTTGAAGACAAATTAGTTTTCATCACATATTAAAACATTCTTATGAAAGTCCAGTTTAGGAACACAAATCACTAGGAACTTCCTATAGATTAAGAAGGATTTTCAATAAAACTCAGACCAAATCCCCGAGAGACAACCCAGATCACACTCACGATATGCTGTTGCAGAATCTCTGTCCTTCTGGTCTGTGCTGAGAAACATGGTGAGGGCAGAATATGGTACTTGGAATAACTATGGAAAGAAAGAACATGACTTAGGAAATGTCAGGGAAAAGCTGCTGTATGTCTTTGATATCCAAGAAAATGGTTTAATGGGACATTGGAATTAATTTAGTACATCAATTCAGAACACTGAGAACCCTAAACCGATTTTTTAGCACAAAGGCCTGCCTTTTCTTTCAGGTTTGTAAAACACATAAAAGGAAAACAGTACATTTCAGAATACAAATAATAAATAATAAAATACCCAGAGGGTTTACCTTGATGTTGCACTCCTTCAGTTTCCTTGGGAAAACATCCTTCACAGAGAGACCCAAAAGAATTTTGCTTTCTTTGCACTAGGACACTATTGTGTTCCTAGCTTGAGCTAACCAATAGGAACCAAAGCCATAAAGAAGAAATACAGTTTTCCACTTTATTCAAGCCAGAAGACTACAAAAATACAGAAAATATTTCAAATATCAGTCTAACTATGTAAATCCAGGAGATAATAGCGAAAACAACCCTCTCTTTCAGCACCATTGTGCCATACAATCCTTAATTTGAGTTATGCATAAATTAAGATCACTGCAAAGTGGAACTGGGACATAAACCTGCCTGAACAACCACGTTCTCTGTGGTGTTCCCACCACAACAGAGATCTGTAGCCAAATTAAATCTTGCACTCTGCATCACACAGTGTTTGTACAAAATGCATTTCTGCTCTCCTCCATCAAAAATGGCAAGTGTGTAGGCTTTCAAATCTCTGCCATGAAAACTGTGTTCCTCTTTCAAAAGAAAGAGGAAAGAATTCTTAAAAATCATTATGGATGTCTTCTGGACCATCTTTCTACTGGGGAAACAAAGGACTTAGGGAAATATTCAAGCTTAACATAGGAATACAGAATTCCTAATCTGCTCCTGAGAACAGAAGTCATGAGAAGTTGGATTTCTAACTAGAATTAAGAAACTGAACATCTGTACAAGAAGGAGTTGAGAGCACTGGAGGTAACCTGGATGAATTAGCAGTTCATTTACCAGAAAAAGCATTGCCAGAAACCATCAGCCAGCAGAGTTTGATAAAAGGACGTCTGCCTGTCCCTTAACCTCACTAGAAGTTGAAGTAAAATGTGAAAACAAGTTTATTAAATATGAATGCTTTAATATAGACAGACAACAAGCAAGTTACTGCTGAGAACATCAAGACCTGTAATCTACTTACTGTGGTCAGTGCTTGGAAAAGGCAGTGGAAAGTCAGATACCAAGCAACTCTTCCTGATACAAATGGAGGAGGGTACCACATTAAAAAATAGGAGACTATAGTGAAGGGTGTACATGCCAGCACCCTGAGAAGAAAATTAACACACATCAATAATCCCAAAATAATGATAGCAAAGCACATTAAGTTTTCCTGCTAATAATCAATATAACACAATTTATTTTACATGCAGTTTTTCTAACTGCAGCAATGTATGTTTTAAATATCAAAAGTCAGTGTGCATTGAATCCACAGATTAATATAAAATATATTAATATATTCATTATATATAAATATATAAATATGTTATATATTGTTTATACTACTATATTAATATTAATACAAAATATATAAATACACAGATTAATACTTTCATCATGTGGAAGAAAAAACAGCAAATCTGAAAGAAAAGAGCTACACTTAAGCTTATATCCCATTCAGAAGAGACATAATTTCCTTTCACATGCACTGTAATAGCACACCTATATTGCCATTCCTTGGCAAATGTCTCAGATTATACATTTATTAGAAAGAATCACTGAAAACTAAGCTCTGTCATCATGTCTTTGCATACTCCAGAAAATTTTACATGAGTTTACTAACTATTGAGATTTTCTCTTCTAATTTTAGTGCCTTTGGTTTTCCCCTGAACTTAGTCTCTTCGCTGCTACTTTAAGCAAGTGCAAATACATTGATACACTTAAAAATACTGAAAAAAGCCTAAGAGACAATGGACAGCCTTGTTGTGAAAGCTCCTACACTCTGTGTCTAGTTGGGTATATGAGCATTTCCTCCATTTAATTCCTAATCACTTCAAAAACAAAAGGATCCTCTTTAGAGTGGAAGGTGGCTTAAAAAAAAGAAGCACAGAAACTTATATTCCAGACACTGCCATTAACCAGCAATGGTTAATGACATTAGTCTAAAACCTATTTTCAGACAAATACTGGTCTGAACTTGTCAAATTTGTCAAACTCCGTGATACTGAATTGGTTAGCTGTAATTATTTCCTAAAAGTCTGAGCTGCAGCATCAGGCCTGTCCTGTATTCTTGTAAATCAGGCACTGAACAATGTATTTAGATGACCAAGATCCTAACAAAAATTTTCCAAACACATAAAAGGGAAAACAGATTAATCCCTTCACAACAGCACTACTGACATTGGGGGTCAGCTGATTGTTTTGCAATCGTGAACTGAAAACCTGGAATACAAAAGAATAATGTGGGTAAATAGTTTAGTAAAACAATGGCTTTCCCACACTGCTCTTTGGGATGGACAGCATCACTGGGAGCTGAACATTTACCGGGAAAGTGCCAGGTTCTGGTATTCTCTGTCCCTCTGGTCCCCAGCCCACAGTTCACCCACAGCAATGGAAAACATAAGGGGAAAATCCTAACACATCTCAGGGCATCTGCCTTCCTCTCCAAAAGCATGAGCTCTTCCAGATGGTGTCCAGGCAGAGTCACCACACTAAATACCTTCACAGTCACTTTTTCGTGAAACTTTTTAGCAACAACCCTCTTGGTATTGTTCTGCCTTTTCCCACATTTTCCTTTTCTCTCTAATGCCAGGGAGTTTTCAAAGCCTTGCTGGAGTTGCTGAATATCTGATTGCCAGCTATTATCTCTTCTGACAAAATGTTCGACCAGAATTTCAAGTCAGTGTCTGCTTCTGCCTTTTAAAGCCATTAAATAAGTGATTGATGACTTTGTGTTATATTGAGGACAGTATTAAGCGATAGTTAAACATTCACTTCCCTTACTAATGTTCCTACTTTGCTGGCAAGCTTTTCTGACTGAAAAAATGCCATTACTTCATTCTAGAATATTAAGAAGTCAGAAAACATTCAAAATACTAAAGTATTTTTAAGCTAAGAGAAGCCCCATTTTTTGCTTTGTGAAAAAATGGCCTCTCAAATGTCTAGGAACAGAATTCCCATGAAAATATTGGTGTTACCAAATAAAACCAGACAAAATATTCCTGTAAAGAAAGCAGCTGTTTGATGAAAGGTAGGGTTAGATAAGCACTTTTCCTGTAAGAAGTGCAAGATGTGCTGGAGCTGGTTTACAGTGAAAAAGGCTAATAAGTTCATGCTTGTGCTGGGACAGGAATCATTCTTACACCAATGTAACACTAACAATAAACACATGAAATTGCTGTATTTTCAGAGAACTTAAAAAAAGAAAAAAGCCAATGTAACACTAACAATAAACACATGAAATTGCTGTATTTTCAGAGAACTTAAAAAAAGAAAAAAGCATCAAAATACTTCTAATGGCATCTGTATAAAAATTTCACTGTTTTCCTTTTGGACAGCTTTCTTACTTGGTTAATTCAGTAGTCATTAAAACCACACCATTTACCTGGCCTCCAACCAAATCCTGAAAAGAGAAACAGCATCAAGCTCCTCTTTTCCCATGAGACTTGACAAAATGCTTAACTTCAACCTGAAGGCCCTGTTCCTACTGGGCCAAGAGCAGCACATCTCAGCCTTCTTCCAATGTGTACTTGCCTTCTCTAGTCAGATAAAAGCTGACCATGGACAAGTTTCTGTAGCTGTTGAACTGCACAAGAGCAAGAGAATCAGCTAAAAAACTGCTCATTTTCCCTGAAATTTCAACTTCCTTGCTCAGGACACATTTACTCTTAGATTTTTGTTGCAAATCAAGTTTTTGGGTTATATCAATTAGAAATTCTCAATTAATTTAAAATATCTTACAAGACATCCATATAATGTATGAGATAAAATTATGAAAAAGTCCCTATTACACAAAGTAGTCAATCTCCCCTTGGCTTCCAAAACATTAAAATACAACAAACACATGCCCTGTGGCATAGATGTGCTTGAGTTCCTCTAGCATGGCTCAATGACCCAAATCTTTTCCAATTTTTCTTGCTTCACACCTGTCAGTCTCGTTCCTATATGGGCAACATTCATTGTTCTCTCCTTGGAGCACATGAAGAGCGTGTGCACGTAGGTAAGATATCACGTGAAACATCACACACTTCCTTCACAAAAACATCAAAACCTTACAGCATCTCACTCATTGTAAGGGTCATGGTGACTTTTATTGAACTATTCTGACTAAAGGGTGTAGGAGACGCAGGGCTCTGGTAAGTGTGGTAAGAGCAGCCTCCCACAGTGCCATGGCAGTGCTGGCTGCTGAGCCCGTGGTGTCACATCTATTCCACATCCACACACACTTCTGCTCTACATCTGTTCATGCATCCTTCCCTGAACTGAAAGGCCTGGGGAGTTAAAGGAGCTCCTAGAAGGCTGATGTGAGATGTGAGGGCACTCTAGGAACATAAGTATAACTTTGTGGAAGAGTGAAGTCAAACTAAAGAAATCTAGACAAAGATCAAAATTCAATCACAGATTTTAAAAAGTTTTAGATGTCAGCTTCCAGTTTTGCTAAAAATACTCTCTCTTGGCTTTATTCGTTTGAGACACCAGTGGTAGAAAATCTCTTCTGTGTTTTCATGGGTGAACAAGTAAAAGATGACATGGCAAATTTTAGTCTTTATTTTACATATGTGGAATGAATACAATCCCTGAGACTAATTCAGTGAGGTGACTGTATAATCACAACAGCCAATATTCACATATATATGTAAATATACGTACACATTTATACTTACCAAGGCATGAGCCGGCCAATTTTTGTCCATCTACTTTTGCTAATAAAAAAGCCAGCAACAGGATCAGTAACTGCACCTGAGGCTTTGCCAATGAACAGCACCAAAGAGGCATGAAACGGAGTAATCTGAAAGTAGACAGAATACAGTAAACAAGAGCCATTGTTTCACAATACAATGAAACAGCATAAAGCAACCTTCCAGAAAAAAACACCTCAGTGTTTTAAAGAATAGTGATAGTTCATTTACAAAACATGTCTGCTGCTGTCATAGAAATTCCCATTGGTTACCCACAGCAAACAAATGAGACAGAGATTGGCACTGTGAATCAAGGGATCAGAAGGGAAAAATGTAAGGAAGGAAAGATCCAGAGTGTGTTTAGGATGAGGAAAATTAATCAGACAAATAGCAAAGTCCTTGTTTTAGTCATACAATCTGACAGAGTTCCTCTGTAATTACCCACTTGTTTTCCCCCCACATCTCCATCTCCCCATATCTTTATCTTGACCTCATCTACAAAATGGTAGAGGGGGCTGTTTACATGCAGTAATGTTTCTTCCTCTCCTGAGATTAGCAACAAGGCTGCCAACTGGTGGCATGTGGCTGAGGAAGAGGCTGTTGCACAACAGACTTTATCCACTCTGGACTCAGGGGTGACAACTGAATTGCGTAAGGCACATCTGTTCAAATCAAAGTTGCCAGCACGTGTCCATCACATCTCACTTGAAAAATGTTCATGGATTACACAAGAATAAAATGGCCAAGTAGAAAAACCTCTGAAATTAACCCAGGTGGACCATACTTTTAGTACCTATATAGAAATAGTTTATCCCAGGCAAAAGAGTTATTTTTTCACATGTATGTGTACAGAGCTTAGGAATTCCCATCACATAATGGTTAAAAAAGGTGGGTTCTCTTCCATGTGCTCAGTTCATGTCACTGCAATTATAGTCCTGAAAAAGAAAAGGTCATTGAAACCTATATAAAGGTGAATGTTCTTCACATCAATTATTGAGAGAAGCTTCTGAAAGAGCCTCTGTGGCTTAAACACAGTGAGAGCAGACAAGAGCCCTTCATCCCTGTGCTCCAACATAGCAGTGCTCCAAAGGCCTGGAAAACACAGCTGATACAACACCAAGCTTGAGCAGGTATCCCCTGCTTTCCTGCAAAGGATATCATCTCCCAGGCAGCATCACCAGGAACACAGCTGGTGCAGGTCTCCTGCCTGCAGAATCTGCTTAGGTGTCCTCTCAGAGGTGGAAGAAGGAAGCAGTGATCTCTGAATGTCCTGGATGACCAGCACAGAAGGCAGGTGCTATGGACTTCTGACATCACACCCATTACATTTTAGCCCAAATTAGGTGAAACTGCAGTGGCAGCCAATGTTCCTGTCACCGCCAGCTCCAAGACATATACTCCACCCTCGAAAGTTTGTGGGCAGAGAGGGATTGGGAATGGCAGTGTCCAGCAGTTAACAACAATGGCTCTGCATTCCATTGCAGCGTGGTGGGATGAGGCTGGGATGAGCACTGGACTGTGTCCCACCTGCTTGCTGATCCACCTTTGCTGGCTTGTGCCCTCCCACAGCCACCAAAGGGTGGCAAGCATCCCACCAGCCCTGAGGCTGACTTGCCATGGGGGCTGCACTAGGACTGCCTGCAGGTCACCGCTGCTCCTCAAGGGACAGAGCAGCCAAAATAAGCACTAAATAGCAGTCAGAAATATAGAGGGGTTGAAATATTGTGGTTATGAGGGGGACAAGAACAAAAACCTACAGATTAGGTGAGTTCCACGTTCGTATTTTGTTTGGATAACTTGAACAGACTGAAAGGAAGTGGATATAGGAGGCACAGAGGTGGAGGAAAGCTTTGAGGAAAAAGCAAAATCTCTTTCATGTTAGGTGTGGAGACTGTAGTCACCCTGTCTTCATCATTGGTATGGGTTTACACTCCTGTTGGCTGCATTTTATCTCCTAAATCTAGATAGTGTCTGTCAGCACCAATGCCAGAAACTTCTCAGTGTTAATAAAATACAATTTAAAATATGCTAAATTTGAAAGGAATAAAGACCAGGATCCTTTTATCTGAGAATTTTTGTGTTCTCTAGCAATTTGACTCAAGGATCTTTTGTGTGGTTTGGATTTCCACTTATGGCTGTAGTCTATACAGGTAATTTAGGTGGAACAAGGAATTAAAATTGAAAACCTATAAGTTACAGAAAATGAATAAAAATACAATTTTCTTAGAAAGGATACAGATTATGTATGAAACATTACAATTGGTGACTTTCATATTCTCTCAAGAAGCTAAAACAGTTCTGATCTCTAAGTGGGCAAGAAATAAATCCAGGTAGTGACTAAATAATTAAATTCTCTCCTGAAAATTTATGGGAAAGAACACAGGATTTCAGAGCTATTTATCAGACCTTGAAATAAATCCTGTCCCTGCAGGACTACTTCAGAGAAAAAATTAAACCATCAGGGAACAAATAATTAAGCCCCTTAATGAAAGTGTAAGTATATTACTACAAACATTAAGCAAAATTATTTGGTTTCAGTAGAAGCTTGTTAATAAAATCATTATTTTGATATTACTTATTTAGGTAGTGCCCAAAGATACACGTATGGGACCTCAGCTTTCTGGACACTGTACAAAAACACACAAAGGAACAGTCCCTTGCCTTGAGAATTTTCAATCTCTGTGAGAAGCAAAGAATGGGGGAATCGTCATAGTTCTAAGCACCCTGGGAAAATGCTGTTGGAGTCTTTCTCATTCAGTTTGAGCTTCACCATCTCCAAAGGCTTGTACTGCCATTCTTGATGTCAGTGGGCAACAGCTTCAGTCAGAGCTGCTCCACCTGCCTGCTGTACCCCCAAGCTCCCTTTTCTACCTCCAGCTCCTCAGATTCCACACCATCCACTTCACATCTTTGACACTGCTGTCCAAAACTGGCTCCTTTTCTACATCTTGTGATTTTGATCTCAACAAGACACTCAAGATGATCTCAGCTGTACATGCACACCTTACTGTGCTGAAAATTTTATTAAGTCACAAGTCAGCTTTTAATACCAGACTTTTATAGGAAAAACATAAACCCAAACTGCTGGATACCTCCAGTCATAATATCCTGTCTTTAGACAGCAAGTGGGTAATGATTTCTGACCCAGAACCTCCTGTTTCTTCCAGTAAATAGGAACAGTCATCAGTGCTGAAGTGCCACCTGTAGTTTCAGAGCTGTTCTCACAGTCCCTACAATTTGGCCTCCTTGTCCTAGTTACCATGCATATATACAAAACAATCCAAAACAGTAAAAATTTCTTATGGATTGATTTTTTTTTTGTGTCTCTGATGTCCTGAAATCTAGCTGGAGCAGCTGAAAGTCAGATGAATAGGATGAGTCCTAGTGCTTTGTTTCACCAGGTCTGCTTCTGCACCAGAGAGCCATGGACTGGAAGTAAAGGACTTTCAGGAAGCATAACTCAGCTTTATTTGCCATTAAATTACCTTTGACAAACCACTTAAAAACTGTGTGAAATTATGTTGGCTACTGGGGGAAACTGGAGTGATTTTTAACTAAACCACATGAACTAAACTTCACAGCCTCAACATGTTGATATTAATGTTTTCAGATGTCTTGTATCTTACACTCTTTGACTCCTGACACTGAGAACAGATTTTTCTTGTGTCTGCAAGTGTGTGAGCTCTACAGCACCCAAAGTTCTAGTAACAATCCCAAAGTAAAAGTGAACAGCCATCTCAAGACAGAAAGAGAACTAGTGGGGGGAAAAAAAATTAATTCTGGACAAATCTATGCAGTTTCCAGGATGCTGAACAGCTAGAGGCAATGACAATGAGACGATTTAAAATATTTATTAATTAATTCCCCTTCTATCATTCCAGGGGCATAGCTGGCAATATCAGAGTTAAGTCTACAGTCTGCAAATGTTTCTTGTGCTACTCACATGGGCTATGTCCAGCAGGTAGATCTGCAGGAAGAAAGAAGCAGCACTCCCTGCCACTTGGTTTGGGGCACCTCCTATGGCATAGCACAGTTTGCTGCACACCGAGAGCCTGTACCCCTGTGTGAGAGGAAGCAGAACAAACCATGAGTAAACCAAGGTGCACAAGTTAAAAGCCACACAAGTGATAAGGTTAAAGTCTATAGTTAACACCACTTTAATGTATTTGCTTCATAGCTATTCCACTAATAAATCCGTACGCCTGCAATCCCTATCATCAACAAGCATTTGGGTGCTTGTTACTTTGATTTTTAATGGATTTGTTCTCTAATTCAGCCCCTGAAAACAGATTACAGTGTTCCTAAAAGTGACTTGTGAAGACCCTCAGGCCTACCTGCCTTCCTCTCACAAGCTATTAAAAGGAAACAAGTCTACCAAGTAGCAAGAAGCAGTAGAGAAGCACTACACTATTATTTGAGCTTAGTTTTGTCTTTAAATGCTCAATTCATATTTTTAAAGGTTAAAAATTTTTACTTTAAAATAAATATTTATCTTATTAACCTTTCATAATAATAATTGATACATACTCTCATACCACAGTAATTAAGCAACATTCACAGAAAGTTCCACAGACTAAACAGATCCCAAACATTCATGCTTTGTTCCTTCCTTTGTCACAAAATCCTCGTGTGACACTGGCAAAGACACTTGACTTTGCACATCTTCCTTTTGACTTGACTTTTCTATATCTTTGTGAAAATTAGCATCATGTGATAAGTGATTTTGGACCCAAGTTTTTTTTAGAAAATCACTCCAAGTGTATTTAAATTTTTTTGCAAAAACTGTGCTGTCTCATTTGTCATTTGATGTTTGAAAAGTACCGTAAGCATGCAAGAATTTTCTCAAATATAGTAGCCAAGGAAGAATAAAATAAATGTTGAAAATAAGGTTGCATACCAGTAGTTAAAATATAAAAATTGCACAAGTAGAGGTTCTAATGAGGAATATGGTTTTTTTGTGGGTTTTTTTTTTTTTTCCAATAGTAGGAGTTGCGGGATACTGGAAAGCCTTTCAAATAAATATAAGATTCAATGTTACACCATAAAATTCAAAATTAAGAAAGAAAATGACTCTTTGTTAATCTGTATTCCTTTCAGAGGGACAACACATCAAATCAAATTTTTAAATTTTAGGCTTTAGTCCCCCTTTAAAATTTGCTGTCAGCAAAAGCCAGGAAACATGAAGAGGAGCAGTAATACTAATCCTGGATCTTTTTCGTCTCTCTGAACTGACTACACAAGCCCTTAATTCTTATATTAGGTCAGGATGAAAATAGAGATACAGAAATGAAATCCACCACAATGATATTTTGACACATTACCTAATTTCTGAACATTTTTTAATTTACTAACCCATCATCTTTACTCTGTAACAGTTTTGAGAAGTTTTAGACTTCTAGGCAGTGCCTTTCATCATCTAAACATTTCCCTTTGAAAGGTTTTATCAGAATGGGTGTGAACAAACAAGTACAAGTATCAGGACTCCTTCCTTTTTGTGTTTTCCCAGAAAAAGACAGGGTGGGATCCCATTACTACACCCAAGGAAAGTGGACACCATCAGGGCATGAGCTGCAAACTGTTATCACCACAGCAGGCCTCACTTATGCTGCATTGGCAATTTTCTTTGTTGCAGGAAAAGAAAAAAAGAGTGATAAACAGTCACAAGACAGACTTCATCGTAACAATTATACTATTTAAATTGATAAGAGATTGCAAACAAAACAGACTATACACATATTTGATGTCCAAAGTAACTCTTCATTTTCCATACATAAGTCCTACTAAATATGAGCTTTACTAGACTTGTGGGTCCACAGAATTTTGCTAGCTTGACCTACTGCCATCCCCTTGAGCTTTGCTCCACAAGCTATGTGCTTTAAAACTTTGTCTCACTTTTTTTAGTCATTCCCTTTTTTAAGTTTTATTTTTTTAGTCATTAAATTACATTAAAAGTTTGCTTTCCCTTGATACTTTCCCTCCAAGCATTGGCAAAATGACTTTTAGCTGAAATCAAGAGATATAAAGCACTAATTCACCCCCTCTGCTATAGGCATGGACACCTTCCACTATCCCAGGTTGCTCTGAGCCCCACCCAACCTGGCTCTGAACACTTCCAAGGATGGGGCAGCCTCAGCTTCTCTGGGCAACCTGTGCCAGGGCCACAACACCTTCATAGTAAAGAATTTCATTCTTACTTGCTGCTTTTAGTTTGAAATCATTGCTCCTTGTCCTTTCAATAGCTAAGGCAGTGGTAAAACAGAAAAAGTGTATAATATGCATGATTCCAAAATGTTTTTAGAACAAGAAGAATGTCAGGTTCTTAAGAACTAATCTAATTAAAGCTGTGGTACATGAAATGGTCAATCAAGATCTAAACTTAAAGGCTGCAGGTGGTACTCCTGTCTTTACAGCAGTTTCATGGCTAGAAAACTGACAATCTTAGTACATTTTTTATGAAGTCTCACTGCAATTCCGCACACACCTAGAATGCTGCTCAACTACTCTCTGAACCATGCTCCCAGATCACCTTGAAGCAAAGTTAATACTTTGGTCACAGCAGTAGTTAAGTTTTAATTAAATTTTGGCTATGAATGTTATTTTCAGAATAAAACAAGCTGTCATATAGACATGGCCATACAGAGGTGTCCTGTCTGGTCACCCACAGAAACACAGAGAACCTGAGGCTCATGAGTTCCCTGGAAGGTAGGTTAAATCCTGCTGACTGTTCCATAGCTGTTTTCCTTTTATTTTGCCTAATTGCTTTTGGAACTTGTTTGTACATTAAGCCATAAACACCACAGCAGTTCTGCATGGAAATGAGATGTAGTGTGAAAGGAAATCTGCAGTGTCACTGCAGATCTGCTGCATGGCAATTTCATTGAGTGTCCCTGAGCTTCTAGCTGACGAGAAGCAATCCTTCAGACTCTACATTCTGGTGTGTCCTTCAAAAGGAAGCAGCCCACAGTAGATTTTTGCCTCTCCACGTTGAAATCATATGGTAACAACCGCATTTTCTGCCTCAGTACACAATGGAAAGTGGTAAAAAGAAGATAGGACTCTGCAACAGAAAAGCTGAAGCATTTTCTTCTCTCTAACTTCCTACAATTAAGAGCACAGAAGATGCACAGGGCAACAGCTGTCTGTTACAAGATCTACAGGAGCAAGTCCCCCAGCCTTGGTTGGGTTTGCATGACATTGCTCATAAATGCTGACAGAAACTGTCTTGGGAAGGATAACACTGAGCAGGGCTGCGTGGCCAACAGCAGAGCACTGGCTATCAGCAGCTCACAGAGCTTTCCTCCAAGGGCTGGGTGTCCCTGCTGCATTACTTCCTCAAAAAACACAAAACACTTGGTTCCTGTGAAACCCAGCAAAAGTGTCATCACCTGTGCAGGTTCATCAGCAAGCTGAAAGTACTCCACAAATCAATAGAGGCAGGAATGTGTAGGCAGTGGTCAAATAAGGAATGAAACATAAAATTACAATCAAAATTTCATTTGGAGACCCCTGTGGTGTAGTTGAACTTCAACATCAAATTGCTTCTACAAGCTTTAGGAGAAAGCTTTAGTGAGATGATGATGGCATGAGAGGTAAGAGGAAGGTCAAACAAAGTCACAATTTTTTTTGTTCTCAGATTAACCTGAAAAATTTGCACTTGCATACACTCTCATCATATCAAATTTAATTGTGCTTCAAGGCAAACCAAGAAAGCATAATAACTGAGAGATTTGATTTTGCTCCTTAAATAGAAAGCTTAAACATTGTTATGGAAAATTATTGCTTCTCCTACACTGTAGTTCCTTTATTTTTAATTCTCTTGTAAGTTAAAACCATACTTGTAAATTTTCTCTTCCCCAACAGAACAGAAATTGAATACAATATTTATAGTAGAACATCGTAGTTCTACAGAAAGTGTTTCAGCTCATTCAAAACAACTCAGCAACTGTTAGAGGCATAAGGAGCAGACGCATTTTGTCCTAAGCTATTCGTTATCAGTGGAGTCCAGAACTGAACCAACAAGTAATTTAAAAGCAGTAAGAACAGAGAGTGGAACCTGTGACTCAAAGATAAATGCTAGTCTAGGTTTATCTGAGAAACAATGAAATGTAGCTAGTGAGGAGCAGCTTTTGAGTCAGCTTTTCTCTCAATGTGGAATTAACACTGGTAATGTTTCTGTTCTGTGAGTGACCAAACAACTAGCTCTTGAAAGCACGAGTGCGGCAGTCACGGGTGGCATCCCAGGTCCCTCACACCGAGCATCCTGAGGACTGGTTTCGGGTTTTTTAGTGACATCAGCCCGCCCTTGAGTGGAAGAAACCAGGAGCAGGGTTTGTGTGCAGACACCTAGGAAAGGGCGTATTGTAAGGTGGGATACCGTGGTGCTTTCTCAGGATATTCCTCCAGCTGCTGGCAATGTAACTCTGGGGAATTCCGTGAGACAAAAACGGTGTTATCTGTGCAACATATGCAGACTTATGCCATGAATTCACACAGATGCCTTCCAAACACAAAAACTCAAGCCCGAATAGGACGTTCCGGGTGTCTGAAGAACTCCATGGGCTGAATGTCCCCCAACATGCTGTGGAAGCTTCCTCATCCGCTGTGTTTGGAAGCTGCCCATTCCCGGTTTCACCTGATGTTCCCTCAAGAGCCATGGAGTTGAGGAGTCCTCTCTCACCCTCACCCGCCTCCCACTCCTCCCGCGGCCAGCACCGAGTCTGAGGGGGCAGCGTGAGATGCCCTCAGCACCAGAACGCACTCCTGGAAATCGGGAGTGTCTGAGGCTCCGGGGGAGCGAACCCCTCCTGCCTCGGTCCGGGAGGCAGCCCTGGAGGGGACAGGAGGTGGGAAGCGAAGCGGCTTTTCCCTGGCACGGCGGCGGCCAGCGAGCAAATCCCGCGCAGTGCATTCCAGGGAAAACCCCCCGGAGCTGCGGCGCTGCCCGGCCAGCGCGGAGGGGCGGCGGGAAGCCTTGAGGAGCTATTCCAGGTCCTCGCTGGGGCCGCGCACGGAGCCCCGCACAAACCCGGGCTGCCCCAGCCCCACCGGGCACCCGCGGCGGGACCCCGCTCTGGGCTGTGTCCGAGGGGAGCCCCGAGCCCCCCGACAGCCGCCCTGCCCCTCGCAGGCCCCTACCTTCTGCTCGCCCGCCGGGGTGTCCCTCGCAGCCCCCGCCATGNCTCGCGGCGGCCACAGCCCCACAGCGTGCGGGGCTCGAGGCACGGGGCTGGAGGGGACCGCGGCTGTTTCCATCCAGCCCCAAAACGCCACCTCTGCCCCGTGAAGAGATGCGCGGTTTCCCGATAGGCAGGGATGTAAAACCATGCCGGACGGCAACGCTGGCAGCTGGACGGAGAGTACACAACACTGGCGAGCCGGGACACGCCGCGGGGAGAGCGGCTGCTGACTCTTCCATCGGGGTGCTTAGCCATTGCAAGGGGCTGCTCAGGGAGGCGGTGCAGACACCGGCCCAGTGAGGTGTTTAAGGGAAGCCTGGATGTGGCACTCAGTGCCACGGTCTGGTTGACAAGGTCATAGGTCGGAGTCGATGATCTCAGAGGTCTCCGGCAAGCTCATTGATTCTGTGATTCTGCTGCCTCCGAGCCAACGCTCTTATCTGGGATACACGAGTTCACCACCACCCTGCCCCCTGGGAAAGCGCTCCTGCACGCATGCTCTGCATCAGAGCAAATACAAATTGCAATTTAGAGTAGGAATCCTTTCAACAGTGAGGTAGCCTAAGAGAAGAGGGTTTAACGAAGCCAACAGGACTTGTGACCTGCTTGTCTTGGGGAGATGATGACTAATCAATCTCTACACCCAGGGCTTTTTGGCGTGACGGATTTGAAGGGCTCTGCTACTGACAGGGTCACCTGGTGGGTCCTGGGCTGGTGCTGTAAACCATGCCATGGAGTATTGACATCTAAATCCCGTGCAGCCTCACTTGGTAAGAATAATTATAGCAAATTTGCAAAATTCCAAAAGAACAAGGCATTAAAGAATTTTCAATACATTTTCTAACAGAAAACTGAGATTGTGGCCTTAACACACCTTACTGAAAACTCTCTGAAGGGGGTCTCTAGAGGCTGATGCCAGAGGAACTTCAAAAGAAATGGATTGCCCAGTACCAAGCTAAACACAAGGTATGCGTCTCACATTCAAATTCAACATTTCAGTTGTGTTGTCTTTATACACTGTCTTCATAACACATTTAATCCTTTTTACCTCTCAAAAGGGAAACTACATAAAATATTTCCTTCCCTTATTCTCTTGGCTGTTTCAGTTTTGCTGTAAAGTATCTTTAGGCACAGTCTTTACACAAAATAGCAAAGGCTTGTGAAGAAACAATGAATAACTGATGGTACTTGTGTGTTTCACAAATTCTAGCACTGATCAAGCCAGTTATACTGTTATTTGACCAATGCACAATTGATGTCTACAGACAATTAGGTAACTAATCAGTCTTTACAAACTTGACCAAAACCAACTGGATTTAGGAAAGTCTTCTCATTCCAAATTTTTTCTCCAAATTAGGAAATAAGTTATTCAATCAGTTTGTTGCCTATTTTTAAAGGCACCTTCTAATCTAGCATGGGATTAATGCAGCCAGCATCACTTGACACTTCTCAAAGATTTTCCCTCATTTTTAATTAATATCTTGACACTTTCAAACTGCAAATGCACACTCAAGTACACCATAGCTACAGTCAGACAGTTGGTTTTAGTAAAGCTGTCCAATCTCTTAAAATGCTGGTAGCAGACATGAATCAATGCTGACATACAAAATACTTACCGCTCCTTCCAAAGGATAGCAAGGAAAATGGATTTACCTACTTCAAAATTTCACACTCCCCCCTTTAATTTCAATCTTACACTATTAATTTCTTCAAATCTCTGTGCTGCAAATGCATGAATAGTAGCACACTGTTACTTTTGACATTTCATGCACCTTTTAGATAGAACAACTGAACTCACCATCAACCACGTGTACTTTTTACTACTAAGTTTTAGATTAAGACAAATTTGAAAGCACTAATTAATAAAATTCCCTGATCAGGAAGCTCTGGGAACTTAGGGTTGGAGCTGTATCTGTAGGTGGTTTGTCTTTTCAATTTTACTAATGGATTTGTCTGCACATTTATTTTTGTTTTTTATATGGGAGTCAGAGCAAGAGCAAAGAAAATTTAAGTGTACCACTTGCTACATGAACCTGAATGGCACAGTAGCACTGGAGGTTTATAGCACTGGAAAGTGTTTAAAGGCATAGTTGATAGAGATTTGCTTTCTGAGGACACTGAATAGATATTTGCCCAGTTGAATTTCATTTCAAACACACCATGAGATATGCTAAACTTATATCCCTGGGAATGAAGGAGAGCACAACCCTAGTCTGAAGTCTCACTACTTTTTAGAATACAAGTTGTTCCAATTAAATAATTTTCTATTTAGAACAAAACCAAGAAAACACAAAAGAAGTACAACCCCAACAACCATCCTTTGGCACAGGTAGCACAGAGGACTCAGGACTTACTGAAGACTCTGGAATATGTCTTATTCGGAGACTTTAGCTCCATTCACAAACCCACACGCTTAGTAAACACAGTACAAAATATTAAGTCTTTATGGTTTTTTTCTCTTTTAGCAAAAGACAGAATAGTTGGCTACAAACTTTATGCCATGAGTACATGAATAGCAAAATAAAAGGTTTTGGATGGAAATGGAGTAAAGTGGAGAGAAAAACTTCAGTTTTCAAGTAAGGATTTTCAACATCATCTTTGAAACTTGACCACATGCAATTAGTGTCTCCGTCAGCTGAGCAGTTCAGGACAGAGGCAGATGAATAGTACAAAAACAACTGTGTCCCTCTAAACTACTACTCCTGCTTGCTGATAGCCAAAAAAAGCTGAAGTTTCTGTGTGATGAAGCCACAAGTGGGTCCCTACGCTAATGAGCTAGGTAGTTTAACATCACCTGATCTGCAAGACACTCGTAGCAGCCCAAAAGAAGCAGAAACCACTTCAACCATTGATAAGAACCATTCCTTCAGAGCTTACTTTGAGGCACTTCATATGTAGTATGCACTAGACTACCTCATTTGTATCTTCTCACACATGCACCTACCACCATGTGCAGACTTGACAGAACATTATTACAATGCAGATCTCGTGATAAAAGTTGCATCCTGAAGATTTCAAGTTACAGTTCAAATGTGAGCTCGCCTGCAGTATTGGTTGTTGAAAAGTTACTGTGAGAAGAATGCAAACTGCAGCAGTTTCCACTACAATATAAGTGAAACATTTTACTTCAGTCCAAAGTGCAAAAATAAATACTATTTTTCCTTAAAAGGTGCTATCAGTAGTTAAGTCTCAGAGAACTGTTCCACCTAGACCCACTTATTAAAGAACTAAGAAGCTTTTTACCTAAGCAAATTCTAAGGGTGATCTGCTGTAGTTACCTGCTACATTACACAGCCAGGCTCTGACCACCCAATTTAGCTGAAAATACCTCTATTACAGCAGATGACAGCACAGCACCCTTTCTGCTCTCTAAGAGCACAGTGCATGAGGATGTGAGGGCATCCACATACTGCTGGTTACATTTTTGGTTTTGCCTAGTTCACCCTGCAGATAATTTTTGGTCAGTTGAAAGCTAATTTGATCTTGTACTATTGATAGCATTTTTTTGCTCATTCTTGAGTTGTCCATTAGGTGTAGCAGCAGTTTTGTAGTCATTGTCAGGTGCTTTTATCACTAAGAGTGTGAATGGTTCAGTTGTTTTCCGAAGTCTCTGAACAACAACAGCATTTTGCAACTTTGCTTCCTCAAGTGTGAGCGTCTCATCCTGCAGCTCTCGAAAAGGCAGGGAGGTCGTCAGTGTGAAGGGAACACTTTCCTCAGATCCTTGATACTTTGTTATGAAGTCTCTGACGTGGCTGATTCTGAGTAGAGAGAAAGAAAACTCAGCGTTAGTTTCGGCACTGCAATCCCCACACACGTGCTTAACACACGCAGCCACCATGGGACAGGAATGAAACACCACTTCATGAAATGCCTGACAGCAGAGTACTGGAGCAATATAGATGAGCTGTCCTGATACAGCCATCCAATATAGATGAGGTATCCTGAAATGCCTGATCCACTTGGGAGGCAAGGACCAAGGCCTGCAATGCTCTGTGAGTACTCCCAAGGGGACAAGGATGAGTATCTTCTTCTGAGCACTCAAACGTACCATTCTGGCTCAGATGGTAGTTACACAAACCTACCATTTCCTAACCAGCTGGTGGAGCTCTTACCTGAGGGTTCTGTAGCCAAGAGCTAGACTAAAGATGCCTCCAGTGTGTGGTTCATGTAGTGGAACCATAATAAAAATAAAGAAAAAGGGTTTGCAAAAACTATTTGGACAGCTGATACATTGACTAGGTCTAAGTATAGTCCCATCCTCCCAAAGCAGGGGCACAGTGAATTCATTACAAATTAAATCTGTCTGTGAAGAGCCTTGCAACAACTGAGCAAGACAGAAGTTTTGCTGTGGAAGAATCAGGATCGACTAATTTCATTAGAAAATGAAGATGGGAAGGTATGAATAAAATTAACACAGTGTCAATGTCTATCCTCTGGTCCTGAGGCCAACTGGCAGATTGGCTCCCGGCAGATTCCTAAATTCATCCATCCTTTCTCTCCACCATGCACACACAGGGTCTCCCAAGAGATTTCCTGTCTCCTGGGAACAGTCAGGGACCTGAGCAAACCTCTAGACCACGGATGGCTAAGTATTGACTGAGGAAGTGCTGGCTGGCTTGGGGCAATGCCATTCTAACAGTTTAGCAGCACAGATTAGCCACACTCACCAGGACAGACACAGCCATCAAAACAAATGTAAGCCAAAAGCCTGAAAAAACTCAAGCAGGACTAAATTTTTGGTTGGACATTTACAGGTGTCTACACGTATTATATCAAATTGCATTGGTTTCAAGAGCAACTCAGGCAATTAGGCACCAGCTCCCTGCTTCAGGGTGAACAAGTTCCTTTCCAGGCACCATACCTCATGCTCCAGAGTCACACAAACGTAGTAAGTGCCAAAGAAGGGACACAACTCAATCCAGGACACAGCTCTGTCTGCTATTCCTACAGCTCTGCTCTCCTAGTTGCTGCACCCTCATGTCTCAATTCCCCACACTGCAACACTACAATGCTTCGTGTGCTTCTGCTCCAATCTTTCACCGGTAATCAACTCATATCTAAGACAGCAGTTACTGTGGCACCTACACAATCTAACTGCAAAAAGCTAAAAGTCATCAAATTTACACAGACACTGGGTAATATGCTGCATATGTGCTACATACCATTAATCTATACCTTAGTTAACAAGTAGCTGACTGTCATGTGCACTGAAAGGAGTGTTGTGTATGCCATCATCATGCTTAAGGATACATACTCTAAAAGGATTTTCCTCTAGTTTTTATCAGGTTATACACAAGCACTGTGTACAGCACAAACGTGCTGGTCTTGTGGCAAGAGGCAATGTTATAGAATACTTGTTGCATAGTACTTCAAAAAGAGCATTACACCACTAAAGCTGTTCTGCTTATCTCAGATGTTTTTTTCCTCTCAAAAGCACTTAGCAGCTGCTCAAACTGCTATTTACTATGAAGACAAAAAGCTAAATAGACTTAAGTGTGTGGGACTTGGAATAATTGAGATATGAAGCCCTTCAATGAAGTTTTTATAATTAAAATAGCAATCTACCCTTCAGCAGTACATCACAACAGTGTTTCAGTTCATATCTCAGGCCACTAACAGCAATAAATTAATATAAGTCAAAGAAAACACTACAGTTATTAACCTCCAACAGCTGAATTTCCCTTCTGACCAGCCACAGACATACACAGTTTATCTTGACAGCAGCCTGAGTTGTATTAAATCTGATCCCACTTTCTCAAAGCTCCTGCATACAGGTGCTGTGCTGACACCTTCTGACATTATCCTCATTTCTAAGCCTCTTTGGGAACCAGAAATTTTATTAATTAAAAATTAAACATAACGTGCATTCTATTCTGTCCATGTTGACATGCAGGGGATGAAAATTCCTGCCCAGTGCACAACTCCAACCCTCCCCAGAGGTTTCTCTGACTTAACTCTAAGTCCGTTTTTCCAGCTCCCACCTATGGTGCTGCATATGCCTAATGACTAGCAGGCTTTTTACTAAGCCATTTGTTCCACATGTAGATGTTTTGTGAGAGATCTATCATGTTAAAAGCTATTTCTTCTAGTAATGAGAAATATGTATATCTTAACTTTCACTAACCTACAAAGAACTACAGTTTCCTCAGATTTTCCTTTACACTCAGTTATGAGCTGACTTTCAACAGTTCACATTTCTCTTATGCTCTTCTCTTGTCAGCTAAAAGATTTCTCAAAATTTCAAAGGTTTTCCAGACACAAATGAAGGGCAGTCCAATGCTAAGTGAACTGAGAAGGTAGATCAGTCATAGAAATTAAAGACTTAAATGTACAGGCATTAAGACAAATAGTTCAGATGCAAATACGTATGACAGTGGTAAAAAAAAACCATACCTGTGAGAAACATTGAATTTCTGAATTATCCTTTCCCCATCAGCTAACCAGATCTGGACATTGGTGATAGGCTCCAAATTATTCAAGGGTACTAAAGGCAGGTGTCTTTTGTCATCAGGTCCTGGATGGTCATCTCTCACTTTAGAAATTATCTTTGGAGTAGCACTGAAAAGAAAAGCCATATGTGGTTATAGCTTCTGTGTATACATGCAAACTCAAACTTCCCTCCAGACCTCTGCTTCTGGAGCTTTCTGCCCCATAGCAGAATGCACTGATGACTTTTTATTTTAATAAATATAGGAGCACTGACATAAATATCAGCTTTTTTCTTTATTTTTTTCCTACACACATGCTGTTATTTTCACTTAGACTAAAACATACTAAAGAATTTAAGTTTGCTTGCCAAGTTTAACATTTCTGTAAGATGAAAAGGAACTTTAAATATCAGAGGATTAATATACAAGAGACAAAACTGTCTGAAGATTCTTCATGCATTTTTGTACTCTTATCACACAGGTGAAACTTTAAGGGGGTTGAGAATTGAATTTGCATACTCAAAGTTAATTTTCAGTGTAATGTGATTACAGTAATTCAATTTAACTGAATGTTGTTAGCCTTGATTTAGACTCCAGCATCATCTATCTCAGCTTAGAAGAATTACTCATCTATCAGAAAAATTGACTTAACGTGAAAAATCCAGACTGATGCACACAGCAGTTGGATTTTTTTTTTTTTCTTTCCTAAGGCATTTTCAACAGCTGACCCAACCACAGGGGCAAAGATTCATAAAATGACTTGACAGAATACATGGACCTCAGTCCAAGCACATGGTCTTAAAAAACAAACAATAAAAAAACTGCTGGCAAAAAATTTTGTTCTTCAGAAATGTTTAGAGCTTAGTGCTTCTTTCATGACTAAGCTTGTTCAGCATGTACAGCTTAAGTCCTCATTGGGCCTGATCCAATGGGCACATTCTCAGCTCCTGTGAGTATAACCAGATGATTGCTTGCATAACAATAGCAGTGATTTAAGGAGTTACCATTTCTCCTCTGAGCTCAGCTGTGGTCACAGACTACATAAGCACCACATGGCAGTTTGCAGAAAAGCTGTCTTTGCACAGAAAATTGGTGAGTTACAGTTTCTTGATAGAGACATGGGTAACTGATATCCATAGAGTAACAGTCTTAACTATACTGCACATCCGCTTTGCAGACAAACCCCGTTTTCTTGTACTTTCTGTATTAGTTTATTCATAAGGCAGAAAAGTCACAGCTAATTTATCATTAGCTAATGACTTAATATGTTCAGGCTAATAAAGCTGGAGTCTTAAGCACAAGTTTAGTCAGAGGTATTTCAAAAATTCTTATTGCCAAGTTCTGCCCTAACTTCTAGGATACGAGCCAGCAGAGGCAATTTTTGTATCTTCCACAGAAACTCACAGAAAGAATAAGAATCAAGAAATCTCATTTCCAAGTGAGCAATAAGAGATTTTTACTGTAACTGGAGACGGTAAGAGGTACAGAACTGTTTTGCATTACACAGAAATCAGCTGGGGCACAAGAACTTGGCACCAACAAATTAAAAGAGCACAGCTGTAAAATATTCTGGCATTACTAGTACAGGTGATGTACTAACACCCACCTGCCTCACTATCTCACAAACAGCTTCTGCTCATGTTTGACCTCAGTATGAAATAAAACTTAATTGCCCTCCATATCAGTAATAAAACCTTGAGTACCAGCAACATAATGTTAAACAGTTTTGCAAGCAGAGGGAAAAAAAAAAATAATTAAATTTCAAGTCATACTTCAGTCCAGTAATGCCCAGCTCTTGCTGTCTCCCTGTTTAGTTGCTGGTTCAGACACTGCAGAACTCATGTGAGTGAGCTGCCTCCAGGACAGCAGAGGTGCTCAGCCATGGCATTTGGCTCAGGATGGGCTGGGCTACATCAGTCACAGCTGTATTGAATGGACACAGATTTTGGTGTCATTCCCAAACCAACTTCCCTCAATCACACCTCCATATGGAGCAGGCACTGGAGGTGATTCTTTCAACAGCAAGCGTCTGCAAGACTGAAGCCAACACATTAAGTGAAGCTTTAAGAGAAAGTTAGAACATCTGTATTCACCAAGATTTAAAGCACTTCTATAGTAAAAGTAAAAACTTTTCTCTTGCAGAGCTGACAGATAAAGCCATCTAGTGGTGGGAGCTTTGACTAAAGCCAAAACCCAAGAATCTAAGTCTTATTACCCTGCAATTGAAGCATTGTAACTCCTTTCACAGCTTATTCCCTTTATAAGATTACCAACAGAAGATGTAAACTATAAATCAAAGAGACATTAAGAGCATCCTGTCAAATTTCTGATGAAAAAAAGCCCAGCAGTTAGGTATCATGCCTTACACTGACTGATGCTTAAGCAGCTTGACACACAATGCTTTACCCTAATGAGGTTACAGAGCAAGCTTGCTTTGCTACAAGGGATTTCAGTCAATAGTTTAATTACCATGTTTCTGAGGCTGTCTCAAAGATGCACAGATTAGCTCAACAGAAAAGTGGGATTGCAAATCTAGTCATAATCCCAAATGATGAAATTCAGCTGGACAGTGATAGATAAAACAGAGTATACCAATTAGTTACACAGGTTCATAAGGTACATTGGAAAATCTTGATATGTCTTACTTATTTCTCCTGTAGAACAAAAAGGCAGAGGATCTAGCCTGTCTGAGCTGTATCAACATATATGTTATTTCTAGATCCTTCAACAAAACTTTTGAGAACTAGTCAACAGACATTACAAAATGGTTCATCCATCCACAAAATCCCTCCACTTGGGAACACTGAGAGTATACAGTATTAATTTTATAGGTTTATCTGCTAAGCAGAGGTTTAGCTAGGCTATGAGCTGAAGTAAACTCTTCAGTCTTTTGTCTCTCTCATTTCTGACTAATCACACAAATGTAACTGTGGAAAAGTTCTATAGCTTAAAACTTGTTCCAGGTCTCAGCCAGCTCTGTTGCTACCCCACAAAGCTTTTCTGCTGCAAGTGTGGTATATTCATGAAATGGACATTTATTAACAGCAGGAAGTGAGCACCACTTAATGGAGTAGGAACACTTATGGCTCATGTTCCCAACATCAGCAAAAATATTTACTTGTCTTTAAGGAAAAGGCGTTGATAGCATAGCACAGAAGAGACAAGCAAGAGCAGGAAAAAATAAAAAATGCTGAGCAAGTTGTAGAATGTTTCAGTGTACAAGACCAGTCAACCGAAATTCACAGATTAGCATGTTTCTGAAACCTAACTTGCCTACTGGGAAGCAAGATCATTACTTGCTGTAGGCATGGCAGAGCACAACAAGGGACTGAACAACCTAGCATTTAGCACTGGTTAGCAACAGAAACCCAGCACACTGAAGATCATTTTGGTTTTGTTTTGAACAGTCTACTTGTAGATAAAATAAGGTTAAGTTCTTGACCCCTGTTTGCTCAGGATTTCCATGCCACTAAAAGCAAGTCTCACTGATTTCTCAACGCAAGGTTTTCCCCATTGTATCTACTCAAGCATGGAGCAACTGAACGGACTGTACCACAGAAACAGATGAAACTCATAAAACAGATACTTGCTTCTCTGAGTCAGCCTGGAACCACTCTCCCTTTATCACTCTTTTGCTCTGCACATTATCTTCTTTCCCTGCCTCAGCTGTTCCTGCCCAGGTCAGGCTCTCCCTCAGCACAAGCTCTGGGCCTTAGCAGCCAAACCCTTCCCACTTTAATGAAACAAGCTGTTCACCTAAGGCTGCACCACAGCTTAGGAACCCCAGCCTGCAGGTCACTCAGCAGTGCCGCCTGTGATGCCTCCTGTAGGCTCCTTGTCACTGAACATGCTCTGTTCCCTAGGCCAAAGCCTACTTTCATTTGCACACAAATCTTGCATGACAGGGATATGTCAAGCAGATAATGTGGTTTGACATTGGTGAAGTAAGAAAAAGTTACAGGGATCAAATAAATGAACTCCTGGCCTGTTGCTCTACAACAGCCTTCCAAAGCACAGTAATTGTTTGGTGGTAAATCAAGTCCAGTTTTAGCACTGGCACGAGGGGCTGACACTCCCCAACTACAAATGAGATGTGGATCACTGTATAAGGCTAAAATGCCTTACTGCAATAAATGCATGGTTAATTACTGAACAATTTTAAGAGAATGCAAAATAACCTCTTATTTCTTCAGTTCTCTTTATAGGATTATCATACTCCCCCCCTCTTCTCAAACTATTGCTCATACAGCTTAAAAAGAGATTATTTTCTCTAAAATCACAGAATAGAAGAGCAACAGTATTTCAGCTGGAAACAGTTCTGCTAATATTGAGACCTTGAACAAAGAAAGCCAAGAGCTTCCCGGCTGTACCAACACAGCAACATGTCCAGTGGATTGTGGCAGCCAATTATCCCCCAAGCTCCATGGAGAGACACCAAGATGCCTGCAGGATGGAGCACTCACACTGTCAGCAGATGCTGGAGGAAAGCAGCTTGTTCAGCCTGTGGAAGAGATGGTGGTGGTTGTAGGGCACTTAAAAGCAGCCTGCCAGGGTCTGCAAGAGGGGGTCATGCTTGTTATGGTAGACAGAAATTCCAATGAGAGGCATTCAGATTGGACATAAGGAAAAAATTCTTTCCCGTAAGGACAGCCCAGCACTCAAGAAGGCTGCACAGCCTCTGCTCTTATGGGATTTCAAGACCAAATTGGATAAAAGCCAGAATAACCTCACCTGTCCCCACAGATGACCCTGCTTTGAGAAGGAGCTTAGATTAGAAAACTCCAGAGATTACCTCCCACCTGAATTTTGATACTTCACCATAGGTAGTGTCACCCTTCAGCTACTCAATCACAGATCACATCAGCCTACTCACCTTCCTAATCTGTAACCATGTCCAGAAAAGGGATGAAACATTGGCTTTTTTGACGACAAATACACCTTATCTTTTTTATCTTCCACTTTCACTTCTACTTCCTCCTTATCAAAAGCCTTTTGCAGCTCAAAAGGCAGTTCCCTTAAGAAAAAAAAAACAAAATGTCAAAATAAAGTACTATACTGTTTTCAGTATACAAAATAGACCAATGATTAATACCTGATCAACACTTGGCCTTTCAAGGATGATGCTTTTAAAAACACAACTTCACAAGTATTTACTAAGAGTTAAGTGCATGGCATACAGATAACTTCAAGCTCCTGAACTGCAAATTAACTAGAAAGTATATAATAAAAAAAACCCTATTATGCAAGTTGTTGAATGGTGTTCAAATTTACTCAGCAGTTACCACTCTAAACACATAATGTGTAGGAAGGTTCAGTGTCGCTATACACTGCTGCAAAGAGTTCAATTACTTTATCCCCATAGTAAAACAAAAAGGCTTTTAAAGAAGAAGAACTGATTTTAGACACAATGTATTTATTGACAAACACAGATCTCAGCTTTTAAAAATTATATCATTAATAGCTCCACTCTTTAGTGCAGTAACACCACCCCAGTAATGATTTAATCACATTAAGCAGAACACAACAATGCCTTTGTCTCTGAGCTCTGATGCAGATAGTACAATTTTGGGTGGTGGGGCTCAGCTGGCACAGGGGCTGTACTAAATGCTTCTCTACCATCAATGGTTATGCAGAAACCATCTCATAATTAGCATCTTCACAGGCATTAGTGTAATAAAAGTTGCTAACTTTTGATGAATGCACACAAAGGGCTTGAAACAGTGCAGTTACTTGCTATTACAACTAACAGTCGACAGCCATGCAGGAGAAATAGTGTATAATTAGTATTTTTGATGGCCTAGCAAAATATGGAAAATAAAAATATAATGACTTAGTAATTTCACATGCTTGATAAGGAGGTATTAAATAACCTTATCCATAAAATTATATTCTCTCCATTTGTATGGGGTGAGAAAACAGACTACAAATTAAAGGCTCAAAATAACACTGGTTAGTATGGTCAAACTCCTTTTTTAAAGCAACAGCTGCAAACAATAGCAGAAATCAGGACAGCACATTAACCTTTAATATAGGGAAAAATATAAGACAGCTATTAACACAGGAATTTACATATGATTGTTATATATACACGTATATATACCAAGTTTGTACTTGGAAAAATGTCAGAAATTTAAGACTGATCATAGTTGCTTGATGCTACATAGAACATCTGTGCCCATTTAAGGCTTTTCATCAACAAAAAGAAAACAAGAATCGTAAAACCAGAAATGCTCAACCCCGTGTGCATGGAGTTCATTAGTCAAAATACCATTTGATCTGTAGCTCTTATTGGGCACTGATTTATTCTTTATTTCACTGTGTACCTGCTGTGCCCCCTGCCAACACTAGCTTTTATGTATTCATCAGCAACTGTACAACTACTGCCACTGAGAGCTATGTTGAACCTGTTGATGTTCCAACAGCCATTAGCGCTGCAGGAAAAGGACCGGCAGGGCCTGCGCTCCTACAGGGATGCTGCAGTGCAGCAAAGCCACGTAAAAAATTTAGAGCATAAGCTAAGTGCTACCCAAAGCATATTAGCTCAGCCTGGTTAAGAACCCAAAACTCGCTTACCCCTTTTTAACCGACTCCAAGAACTGCTGGTTTGCAACATCAGTGTAGCTCCGAAGTTCACCATCATTTACCGTAAACCCATTTTTCCAAAGTTTAATGATTACATCAACCTACAGAGTAAGAACAATTCTCATTACAACAGTGGTGAAAAAGAAGGTTGGTATACCCATATACCCTGTGATTATAAATCATCCACTTCATGGACTAAAAATACTGAGAGCAGGCTCACTGTAATCTGCCTTGGCCCCATGCCAACAGGCACAGCAACTGCAAGGGGTGACATTTCTAAGTACATTGTGTCAATCTGGGATAGAAACAAACCTTCCTCCAATCATTCTGGATTCCTAGGTCAAGAACACTCCTTCAATTCAGCAGAGGAAAGAAAAAAAAAAAAAAAAAAAAAGAGCTGGACTATCCCAGCCAGCTGCAACTCTTCAAGAGCTAATTTGAGAGCATACATGCATGGTGTTGGAACACCAACGGCCAGAATAGCCCAGCTGGGGATTTATTAGGGTAAAGCCTCATTCTGATCATTCAGGAGGATTTTCTCAAAGTAAAGGCATTGAGATGATGCATGCAAAAGCCTTTCACTCAGGAAATGAAGCAAGTATCAGAAAACTTACTTTCAGACAATCATACACTTATGTTACCGTGGAATTCCTGTGTATTCAAAACCTTGGTGGTTAAGGGAATGAAAAAATAAATTCCTTAACTTTGCCAGAAATCATCCACTACTCCAACTTGTAGCCTTTGCAATGTTTACAGAAATCTCTCCAACTGTAAGATGGATATTTGGGATTGTATTTTCATATTAATGCATCATGCCATTAAAGGAAGCATTTGGTTATTGAGGTCTGATCCCTGTAATAACATTGTCTTGACAGATACTCAGCCACAAATGCAGAATTCACCTCAGCTGAAAATTAATTTGAATGAGGCTTGATAGTACCTGACAAGTTTGGGGTTTTTAGGTTGCTTTTTTTTTTTTTTGACTTGTTAGGTGATTGCTACATAAACAAACAGCACGTACAAACTGCTGAATAGAATTCCTTGTCTTTCAGTTGGGTAATCTGTCAAAAGACGTAGACAGCACCCAGCAAGATTAGATTTCATTAAAAACTCTTGTGTCTCATGGCACCAATGCATATGGAAAGAGTTCTAATTATGGGAAGGCTCCTCTACAGTGAGCCAGTATGCAAATTCAACATGGACTAATTATTCCACACCAACTTCCCATTTAAGCATTGACACAAGTAATGCCAAGGAACACTATTTCAGGAGTGCAATTTAAGATATTGCTCCTGACACTTAATTTCTTCCAGGGTCAATTAAGGATCCAGGAACATAATTTCTAGTAATGCCCACTCCAAATTTCTTCTTGTCATCTTTGTTCTACATGGCCTTTTCTCCCTCCCCTTACCTGTCTTTGATGAGTAATAGAAAAACACGAAAAGGACAGAATCATTGAGACACAAACCCACACCGAACATCCCACTACAACCATAATTATATGAATAACACCAAATGAAAAATATTTGGGCTATGCCTCTGCATGAAAAGGCTGCAGCTCCTTAAATAACTTCTTATGTAACAGTATTTGTCATTCCTTGAACTCCTGCTCACCTCGCTCTCCTTACTAATAAAGCAGAAATGCATTAGCCAATGCCAGCATCAATTCTAGAATGACTCTAAACCGACTATAAAGCAGTAAGAGCCAAAAGCCCAGCAGTCAATTCTGTGTGCATTTTTTTACTGATGTACTGCAAAAGACTGCTGGACTTCTGGTATCTGCTTTCCAAAATATTCCTGGAGTGCTGTTATAACAAACATGAGTGTTTTTTTCTTCACTGCCTACCTGGTTCTTGACTTTAGCTGGGGGCACACACATAGCACCAACCTTCTGAGCTTCTTCAAATAGGTTATCTACAAAGTAGTCACAGTTTTGTTCTGTACCGTTCAAAATCTGATCATCGGTTCCTGATTTACACACCCTACAGAACAAAGACAGAAGCAAAAGTGACTCCTCAGAGGACACATTAGCAGACAAGTAGGTATCTCAGAAGCTCAGTACCAAGAAATATAGAAGGCATACTCCCCTGCACCTGGATTACCCAGTTTATTGAGTACAAAACATCGAGTCAACTTCACATTGTGCCTTTTCTATGAACTTCTTACCAAATCTCTAACTGCTACTATTTGCACTTCAAAAGCCCAAGCTAAAGAACATCATCAGAAAAGATGAACTAATCTATGCAAAGCTTCTAAACTTGGTATCAGAGCAAGGAATCCAAGTTAGATGATTCATACTTCTAACCATCATATATCTAGCTGCACACCAATGAAGGGCTTTCCTTAAAGCAATTCCATGATTCAAGCTTGGATTCCTTTGCTGTAAGTTTAAAAAAAACACAATCAAATTGCCCTAAGATTTCAAGCCCAACTTGAACCTCCCCAGTCCTAGCACAGTTGCAGAACCACCATTAATGATTTGGAAAGTGCATTAGGGAAACTCAAGTGACTCAACACCACTGGAGCACACTGAAGAAATGCGATAGAAGAATCCTTCAACACTGTGGAGAGTGCCAGGGTATTAAAAAAGATGCATCAACCACACCTTTTTATAGAACATTGTATATGTGACATCTAGCTGTTTCTGTCAGATTTTCACCAATCAAAATGCAGAAATATGCAACCTGAATTATTATCTTAGTATAGGTTCTTTGAATAATAAAAAGATTATGCAGCTTTTCATAAACATTGCAGAAGTTATTCCTATGGGAGATTCAGAAAAGTCTATTTTAAGCAATTCAGAAAATAAAAACCCCAGCTCCTGAAAATAATATCCAATTTTACATAAAACTCTGCACTGAATTCAAGAACAGCAATACTTACTGAAATGGTAATTAGATATATTTGCATAAAATGGAATTGTTTGCAGAGCACCTATGCAACACTAAGAATCCCTGAAGATTAACATCTTAAACAAAAGAAAACCTCAACAACTTTAAAGAATAAATTTCAAAACTAGACTGTCCCCATTTTAGTTTTCTAATAGAACAAAAGAAACTTGAAGCATTAATGTAGGTATTCACAATGCTTTACCTCAGGAACAGAACTGGAAAAGCAAACACCTCCATATCAGATGCAGGGCTGCATAGTGAGTTCACAGTTTGAAAGGCTGCCTTGCTATTTTAAATAAAAATATTTACACAGCTTCTTGCATCTAGGAAACATTTCAGGTATATGAAAAACCTTTCAGCAAAACAACAGGAATCTTTTCAGTATATGTGAAGCAGATGAATATAGTAAAAATATTATGGTTTAGAATTTAACATAAAGTTTGAAAAGTAATGACAGGACATAAACAGTGGTGGGAAAGGAATACAAAAAAAATGGGAAGAGCTGGCACCTACCATTCTTTCTTTACAGTTTTGATATTGTCCATGTTTTTCATTCTGGTGCTTCCCCTAATTGCAAAAAGAAAATGCTTTAAAACCAAACCAAAACAAAACGCTTATCACACTTTGCCTCCTTTTGTAGCTGAAGCACTCCTTATATTTTTTGTTGTGTTGATAATACATTTAATCAGACACCTCAACTTCCCCACCAAGTCTCCAGATGGTTCTTTGTTTTCCTGCAGTTTCTAATTTAACGACACATGAACCACACATCTGTTCCAGATGTTCACGAGCAAGGTTACTTTTTCATAAATGTACAAAATACATTTCACAATAATAACAGTGTGATGTGAAAATACATGTCCATACTTCTGCAAAGAGAGGAAAAAAATATCCCATTCCTTTCCTGAGTGGCACAGTTTTAACTTCCCTGATTTTACACAGCATTATGAGATGGTTGCAGAAAAACTGCACTGCCACTGCAGGCATTTGAGTGACCTTCACCTTAACTGTGCATTACTTAAAGGAGCGAGATTTGTCAGGTTGCCCTTCCTACCTCACCTCAAGACATTGCTGCAGCAACTCAGAAACTGTGAATTATCATTTCTGGCCTACTGTCAGCTGGCATGAAAATCCTGGATTTGTAAGTACTAAATATGATACAGGATTAGTCTGCTGAGTCTAAAGAAATTAAGAATCCCACACTGATCTCACTACAGTCACTTTTGAATGCTCTGAAAAAAAGTCACAGAAACTCACTAAAAGCCAGAAACTCCCAAAAACAACTTTAAAAATAAAATCACTCTACAACTGAAAAAACTCACAGGAAAACAGACATTTTTAAGTTGCAACTGTGTTCAGAGAATTATCCCTGGCAACCACTGGTAACAGAGATGATGGTCTGCTCCTGGAAGGTTCAGGACGAAGTTATGACATTGAGTGTGGTTTTTAGAGAGTATCAAACTAAGCAGTGACAGCTATCACACTCCTGAACAAAGCAGTGTGCACAGCATTACTATTGTGAATTTTAAGTGATTTTGAGATTTAACAAGATATGGAGTTTAGGGGAAAACAACATTCACTACAGCACTAATAAAAAAAAAAAACAAACCCATCACATGCAGTACTAATTCATGCTCCTTGGGACTTTAATACTGGTATTCTTTCACCTTTAAAGTTAAAATCCATGTGAGTTACATTCTGTAGAAAAATATATAAGCCTCGAAAAAAACCCTACAACGGTCAACTTTAAATTTAAGTGGTGCTGTTACACATTAAGTCAAAACATAGTTTGCACCCCTTTGACATTTCATACAAGATGAGGTGTAGTCTTTTTTTTTTTTTCCCCACAAATGTTCTGCCAGAGCCCTACATCCAGCAGGCAAGCCTATGCTGGTACATGATGATGTTATATGCATATCTGTTTGCTGGTCTTTGAACTCTGTACTGCACTTGGGGAAAAAAGAGAACTCTCAGTATCAAGTGAGCAGAGTGAAACTAGAATGCTTAAAAAAGTGCAGTTTTTTCAAACTTCTCTCAAATTCAGTTTTCACACACTCTGGCACATAGAGGTTTTTTTATGTTTAACCCAAAGTAACTCTTTGTGGTTTGCGTTAATGTGCTTATCTTCTAATCTTTCACTCCAGAAGGCTACTCCCCAAAGCAACAAGAGCCACCTCCTGCCATCTGCTTTTGTTGATCCTCTGTGACTTGTCATCAGAGCTGTTAAAAAGAAACAGACACAATGAAGCAGCTCTTCAAATTAGCTCTTTGGCTACATTAGGCTGGCCTCAAATGTGCATGAATAGTATTCAAAACTGGTCAGTTGTGAAAGCTGCTGTTCCTTCTGAAGTACAACAGCAATTACACTTGGAAGAAATGTTTGTGTTAATCTCTCTAGGTGAAGAATCATCCTATACAGCATATTGATGTTTATTATGGCCAAAAGCCATTAGGACATAGTGATCAGAACGCACAGCAAGCACTTTAGCTCAGCATGTCAACGCAGCCAGCACAAACCACCTCCTCTCACCAACTTCTGACAGACATCCCTAGCTGCTGTTTAAAATGTTAAGAATTTTGGTACGTAATTTTTGCGTCAGTGGCAAAAAGTACCTCAGAACTGAACTACCACCTCCAGAAACTAAATTTAAAACTTGGGAAGAAGCTGCAAATGTCAGCAGCCTACCACAGTTACATCTATTAATTTGGGTTAGGATACTCCTGGCCATTGCCACACAGCCCCAGCGACTTTCCAGCCCCACGAAGATGAGCCACTGACCTAGGGGCAGCCTTTCACAGCCAGGGCTTCCAAACAGGCAGCCCTCAATAGGCATAGTTGTTTTGGCAAATAATTTTATGGTCAATACTTTTGAGCCCACACTTCCAGTTATTTTAACAAAGAAAAACAAAACAGAAATTATTTGTGAGGCTTTTCTTGCTGTGAAGGGCAGAAATACACACAGAAGTACATGCAATCCCCTCCCCTGAAAGCCTGCTAACCCCTTACCAACTTTGGCAGAACAAACTCTCCAGTTGAGAGCTGCCTGTAGCACAGCACAGAAATTACAGCTGAAAATTGCACTGCACCGTGCCACAGAGAAACAGGAGGCTACAGAGAAATGGCAAGTACAAATTAATAGCGAGATGAACATCAAACCTAATGGCCTGAATGTGACTGATGTGCTCAGGTACAAACTACAGCATTCATGCTTCCTCTCCAGCTGGCTAAAGGAGCTGTGCACTCGGAAAGAAACCTGTCCCCAACCTTGATGTCCATGTGTTAGAAAGATAAATTACTTATCTGTAGAACTGCCTTAAGGTTTAGGACTTGATATGATGCAACGACCTCAGACCTAAGGGGAGGTTAGCAAAGCTTGGGAAGAAGGATGTACCACTGATGGTAGACACAAAGAATGCACAATTTACAGGCCACAAGGACATTGGGCAGAACTTCCATAATAAGGAAGAAACAAATAAAGCTAGCTCAGCAGCTGTGCTGAAATCACTTCCAGGTGAGTAAAAGGTAATTCTGGAAGGGCAAAATCCCGACCAGCAACTCACAGACCACCAACTCAAGAAAACCACCGGCCTAAAAGAAGAGAAAGACTGAGCATGCAGGCTACTTACCATGAAAAGCAAGGGAATAATTTAACCAATAAAAGACAAAATAGTCATTAAAAAGGTAACTATGTAAACTTGTAGCCAGTAAACATCAATGTCTATGTTTGCTAAAACGTATAAAGAGTGAGAAGTTTTGATAGTCGTTGTGATGGCCTTGTGGATTTACCACCCAGCCCTTCTTTCTGCTCAGAACTGCAAATAAATCAAGTACCTTGGCTCTGTGAGTGGATTAGTCTCATGCACAGCAGGTCAAAGAATCTATTTTGGGACAACCCCGCGGCTGCGACGCCTGAACTCACCCGCACCCCACGAACAAGGCCGGGCACACGCTCCGCGCCTCCGGCCGCT